TTTTTTAGGCTGTTTGCTCACTTCATTCGTTTTTTTGTTCTGATGCAACCCAGTCTCACGGCAGTTCTTGAAATAGTCACGAAATTTAATTTATTGATTCGTGTTCATGGGCACGAATTTCCCTCTTTTTTCGTGTCACCCTGCACTAATTTCCATCCAATGTATTTCAATAGGAAATCATTTTCGTGTCTCTAGCACGATTTATTTTGCCATAGTGTACCCGATGCTACGCTTTAAAAAAAAAAAAAAAAAAAAATTAAATATTATTATAGCCACAGGGTATCAGACGCAGTATTTTGATATTATTAATGACACATCAGACGCAGTATTTTGAATATAATTATTATAGACACAGGGTAGCCTACTAGACGCAGTATTTTGATTAATATTATTAATGACACAGGGTACCAGACGCAGTATTTTGATTATTATTATTATTGTTGTTGTTATATAATAATATTTAATAAAAATATTTTTTTAAAAGCGTAGCATCGGGTACACTATGGCAAAATAAATCGTGCTAGAGACACAAAAATGATTTCCTATTGAAATACATTGGATGGAAATTCGTGCAGGGTGACACGAAAAAAGAGGGAAATTCGTGCCCATGAACACGAATCAATAGATTAAATTTCGTGACTATTTAACGAACTGCCGTGAGACTGATCTTGGAACATTCCATAGGGCATATTTTCAACAGGAAATATATTGCATCATTCAGATCTTCATTGCAAAAACCAAAGGAAAGTCTTCTCATTTTATTTTCAATATATTTGATGATATCTTAACTGTGTGACATATGTTTAATCTCGATATACTCTCCTGTTACTTAAGTTATTTTTAAATGTTATTAATTCATTTTAAAAATGCATATGTTTGATAATTCACCAAAACTTGCTCCATATCCTCATGCTATTAGCATGTGTGCCATGTGGCTATTTAGCATGAATTTGATAATTATATGATAAAAACTCAGTCCTGTACCCTCAGTCCTGTTATTTATATAAGCCATAGCAAGACTGAGTAATAGTGGCAGGAGTGAGTTGCATTCTTTGCTGCATATATAATAATGCAAAAACATTGTTAATGTAAGATGATTTACTTGAATCTTTAAGGTTTTAGTTACCATTACCTATATTGTAAATATACACTCACTGGCCACTTTATTAGGTACACTTTTCCAACTGCTTGTTAATGCAAATTTCTAATCAGCCAATCACATGGCAGCAACTCAGTGCATTTAGGCATATATACATGATCAAGACGATCTGTTGTCACCAGAGCAAGCTGAACACACAGAGTGTGTGGTTATTCATTCCTGTTACTGGGTGTTTATTTCTGTTATTGACTTTATTTTTATTTTTTTTTTAATTAGGTTAAATGACTTTTTGTAGTCTGTGTTAAGTTCATCATTTATACAATAGTTGACTTAATTACATGATTAAAACATTTTACTCTTGCACTTTGGGTCAACCTGTATAATAAAAAAAAATGGCTTTGCATTTTTTTTAGATACACATTGTGGACATATTTAGTATTTTTTAATAACAAATATAAATTATTCAAACATTTTACCAACTATTTCTTAAAGGTAAACACATTTGTGAGTGGAAGACAAAATAATTTCAAAATAATCATCTAACTTGATTTTTGGTAAAAGGACTAGGAAAAAATAGATTCTTCCTCAACTTTATTTATTTATTTATTTATTTATTTATTTTTATTGCATTATAACACAATTACAATAAGGCAAAATTTGAATGACAACTATCAGAAAGAAAGAACACCTATTCTATTAATTAAAGTTTTTTCAATAAACTAAACAGTCTTCTTCCAAATTTTGATTGTATCAACTTTAAAGATTTACAGTATAGCCAAAATTTTTTTTGGAAAACTAAAAATAGTGGTTTTGTTTTAAGCCACTTGCATTTATGAATATAAAATTTCCCCAAAATTAGAATATTATTTAATACAAATTGAATATTAACATCTTTCCCTAATAAACCAAAGAAAATATTGTTAAAATTGGGAGGACAACTTGTGAGAAATCTTTAACCACTCGAATGAATCAGGCCTAAAGGTTCTGCTATATAAACATAAAAAAGTGCAGTCATTTTAATGTGATCCTCACAGAATATACACTTGTTATGATCAAAATTAAATCTATGTCTAAGAAACTATGAAGATGGGTAAATATCATTAAACCTTCCCCAACTTTGAAACCTTAAAAAAACAAAAGTGCCTGAGATTGTCCATTATTTATTTCATACAGTTGAATATGTGTGTAGCTGGATACAGTGTTGAAAAAAAGATGACAAAAATAAATAAAATTTTAAGAAATTACAAAAGCAAATGTTACCTATTCGGTGGATATTAAGTTAACCTAAACCCAGGGGCGCAACTGCACATTTACTGAGGGGTATGCGAGTTCAAGTTTTGCGCCCCCCCATATTAATTTCCTCATCAACATGTCGAAGTTCTGAACGCAACTTAAATAGTATGAAGAAGTAAAAGTATAATTACATTAAGCATGTTAAGTCACAAATAATTACATCACATCCCCACCCAAATTTCTTAATTCCATTTTCCTCACCAAATGATTATAGCACCTTGACATGTCTTGTTTTTGTTCTTTTTGTACATTTGTCTAAACAAAATGATAAATATGGGAGTCTTAAAAGGGCAAAAGAACTTAAAAATGCAATATCTTCTCACATGCATATGTGAAAGGTGTAAGGTCTGTCTTTGCATGAACAATTGACTGAAACTGCAATCACACCTTTCACAAAGTGAAATAAAAAAGACAAACTGCCTGAAATGTTTTATTTGATCAAAATGTTATAGGCAAACTTTTTGGGAACTAAATTGAACTAGTTTTAAGCAGAAAAAGTTACCAAAAGGCCTGATGTATCAATATGATACATAATTAATTTATAAAAAAAATGTATGGTATAAAAATGGATCTTGATGGGATTAATAAACATGACAGTTCCAAAAAATTCGAAAATTCTGACTATTTGTTCGTGTCAGTTTTAACAGGGTTAAGAATCTAATTAGGTATCTAAAATTTATGTAGGGGAAATTTTTAATCAAAGTATTATTTTCTATTTTGACTAAAATATATTCAGTAGGCCCACATGGAGTTTGCGTGCGCAGACATCTGCAGTTTTCTACAGATTTTTAGCCCATCATTGAGTCTATCTATTTACTTGTGTAAATTTGTGTACATTTATATTTACTCAGTATTTAAATTCATTTCACGAATATTATTGTGATGTAATAATAGTAATATTAAAATGTTCATATGATTTATTTACAATACAGTTGGTAAAGTAGTATTTTCTGCCTGTAATTCTCAGCAGAAATAGCAAAAAATGTTTGCAGATTCTGTCTGGCCCTAATATTTAGGTATGTAGCCTACTTTTAAACATACATTTTGTGTGATCCCTCTTATTTTTGCAAAATAATTAATTAATAATAATAAAGAAAAATTTTCTGATTACTCATACCTTTTGAGCTCAACTGTATTTGACAGTTTATTTTGATAAAACTTTTACATGAACTTTACACATGGACGTGTGACTGCATGTTATTGTTTTAAATGATTTTGAATTAAAATGTGTGCCACTGTATGCAATTCATACCTATAAACCCTCTCGTTTTTGCCATATTAATTCTACCATATTTTACCATTCTATCCGCTGTCTTCCGTGTGTGTTTTTCCTGTATTTCTCCCGCATTTGTAATGTTTCTATGAAAAGTGAAAGTAGGAGCTCTACACAGAGTCGATCTCAAATGTGATGCAAGAACTGTTTAAGAGAATTAAGCTTTCACATTATTTTGGATTGACAGCACATTGAAATTAATGTAAAAACGGCCGCAGTCACGTCTTTTCCAGTTGAGTGATGGACGTGCTCCATAGTGATTAAGACGGCTTCTATACACGTGATTTGAAGATGAATGACAGCGGATACTTTAAGATTCAGGTGTGTAAATAGACAAATACACAATAATATGTAAACATGTTTTATTTAAATACAAGTAATATTATCTTAAATTAGCATAAACAAAACAAATGTTTTTATTGCATTCCCCCACCTGTTATCAAACAAAACAGAGGATCAAACTAAATTCATTTGTTGCTCTTTAGTAAATAGCTAACGTTAGTAACTGTAATCCATATTTAAATGCAGTGAATAAAAATGTTATCTTTTGAAGCTGACGGTCCATGAATTTACTACTATCAAAAGTGTTTACCATGAAATTAACTTTACACTCATCATGGCTTTAGCCTATAGAATTATAGTGTTTTTCGCATACTATACAGAATGCAAATATGCGATTTCGGACACAGTTCAGGTGTGGCCGTGCGTCACTGCTCCCTGCCTGGACAAAACCACCTCGTCTGCATTTATGGTAAAAGCCCATGCATGCAGTGACTGAGTGGCGATAATGAATAATTAATGATATGGCTGCCCGTTGCTCCCAAAAACATTAGAAGTTGATTAAACGTATGGTAATAATAGTGTGGGTTAAGCCTACCAATTCCTTATTATACCAATTTGTCATGGCAGTTTTCATTTTAAGTCATTGTTCTTTTTTTTGTTTTCTATTTCGCGCTCCACGTCTCTTTACTCTTCTCTCCATTTTGAACATGTGACTGTAACCGAGCAACGGATCAATCAAATGGTCAACGAAGAGGGAGGGGTGGTATAATTTTTTTATTCAATATAATACAGTTGTATATTTATATAAAATGCAGGATAAACATTTTTAACCAAAAATTTGTATTTATTTTGTTTAATATGTATAATAATATGTATAATTTCAAAAATAGTTTTGGCACAATGGCGCCCCCCATGTGTGGCGCCCCTATGCGCCGCATATACTGCATACCCCCTTTTTGCGCCACTGCCTAAACCCAGGTAGTTCCTCATCCTTCATTTAGAGGCGCTAGAATATCCTTTGACTGACTGTTACAAAACAAAGCGAAGAAGTCGTTCTGTTCTCTGATTGGTCGTTGCGTTGCTCAGCGGTATTATGTTTGTTAACGTAACTGTCAACAAAGTATGAAAGCTTTGATTAACTAATAATATGATTTAGTACACTTTAAATGTGAGGAATGAAGAATAAAAAAGTGAAACCCTCCAAATGTGTAAGCAACAGGAAAAGAGGTGAGTTGCACTGACTTCTGTGGTTCGTGTAATTGTCGCTAACGTTAATCCACCAGTCTTTTAAAGAGATTTAAAACTTAACCAGGACAAAACATGCGTCTCTAAACGCGTCTGCCTAACTAGACAGCATCTTAGGGTACATTTGAGGCAGCCCAAGTGAAGAATTGGCTAATGGTTATTGTTGTTTGATGTTACGAAAATCAGCCATGGATTTACTAGAAAACAAAACAAAAAAACAACAACATGGTTATTATAGCTCGACTATGGTAAACATTCATTACCCATGGTTTTGCTACTCAAACCATAGTTTAAACATAGTGTTTGGAGTGTAATAGGTTTGTAAAAGTGCTAATCACTCTGCTAAAGGCATGGTTTCTGGACTTTTACCATAATGAACCAATGGTTAAGTTTTATAACCAGGATCTACAATAACATTTATAGTAATACATAAAACAAACAAACAGACATACATGGTTATTTTTAGACTATGGTAATTAATAACGTTCTTGTTACACTAAGGATAGTTTAACTATGGTAACGTACTAACTGTTTGTACAGATGATAATTAATCTGCTAAAAACATGCTTGCTGCACTTCGCCATGATGAAACAATGTTTAAGTTTTATAACCATGGTTTAACAATAGCATTTATTGTAAAACTGTGGTTATACAAATAATAATCTGATAAAATACCATGGTTACTATCATAGCAAAGCCATGATTAATTTCCCTAGCCATAGTCATAGCTTTCATAGTAAAAAACGTGATTCTACAATTGTAATCAATCTGCTAGAATACTCTCTGGTTACTACATGTTTACCAAAATAAAACAATAGTTAAGTTTTATAGCCATGGTTAAATAACAACATCTATAGTAAAACTGTTGTTATACAAATGATATTTTGTAATATACATGACAAAATAACATGGTGACTACCATAGTAAAACTCTGGTTAATTTTCATATATTTACTATAGCTTTAACCATAGCTTTTGTAACAAAACTGTGATTCTACACTTGTAAACATTTTGCCAGAATACTATGGTATGTACACATTTACCATATTAAAACCATGATTCATTTTCACAGCTATAGTTTAACCATAGCTTTTTTAGCAAAACTGTGATTCTCTATTTGTAATCGATCTGCCAGAATTCTTTTGTGTCTTCACATTTACCATAATAAAACTATGGTTCATTTCATGCTTTTGTAGCAAAACTGTGATTCTACATTTGTAGTCAATTTGCCAGAATACTCTGGCTAATAGCTTTTGACATAACAAAACCATGGTCAGTTTCCCTAAACAGATATAAAAGCCATAATCTGATTAAATATAATTTATTAATAGTGCTCAAATACATATCCAGTTTTTAAGTGATGACGTGTTTGTGACGTATGTAATACTGTTTCTGGGTCCAAGCCACCATTCATTTGAGTGGAGAAATCCTTCGTTTATGGTCACTTTTTATTCCTATCACACATTAAAGTTAATTCTACATAAAATCATAGTGTACTCAACAATCTCTGGGCTTGCTGCATAACAAATACTAAAATTTTAACAATTTATAAAACAATGAATCACATTCTGGCCATCAGATATTAGGCATGGACATATATATTGCGATCGTGACTTTCGAAAGTATTAAATCGCTTTGTAAACGTTTATTATTACCAATTCATGAATCTCCCCATTCAGTTGAATAGAGCGCTTAGACCCGGAAGCCGCTCCGCGTGACGTCACACTTAACAAGCGCATATAATTTACATATGTTGAAATGTTCAGTTGTGTACATTTGCTGATTTTAGCCCTACTCCTTTGTTTGTGATGTTTTGCTCCACCTCTATTGGACTGTTTTAAGTTATATTACGAGATACTAAAGTGAAAAAAGACAGAGCCACACAGTTTATTGACCTGAGTTTATTGATATACTGCATGAGAATTTAGTAAAAACCGTTAATTGGAACGAAACCATGTTTAATTTTCATAACCATAGCTTTTTATAGCAAAACTGTGATTCTACAATTGTAGTACTATGGTAACAACACATTTACCCTAATAAAACCATAGTTATTCTCTATAAGTGTTCACTTTTACCATCCACTTTCAACTTTTTATTATGATCGTATTTGTTCTCCGCTCTCTGCAGTGCTCAGCGACGTGTCTCCGTCCACCAGCATTCCTCCTCTGGTTGAAGGCCAGCTAAGATGCTTTCTGAGAGTGACGGTCAGTAAAGCGCTGTGGACCATCATCAGACCTCCACCTGTGACTCTGATCAGACTTAGATGGTGGGGAGAGTCTTCAAACGGCACTTTCTTTAGGCCTAGAGATGGACACGCTGAACAGAAGGGGCTCAAATCCACAGCTCGCTTTCCTGTTCGATGTGGACCAAAACAGCTGACTTCTTATTTAACAGGTCTGATTGTTTGTGAATCTATTATCTAACTTTATATAAGGCAGTGTGTGTGTAGCTTAGTCTTTGATTATGATGTAAATGTATGTTTTTCGTTTGCAGATATGGGCTCGCTGGTGCTAGATGTGCTTACAAAGGTTGATCATTTGCCTATAGCTCGAGCTCAGATTCCAGGAATCGCCCGGCTGTCTTTTTCACACTCCATAAACGGATATTTCACTCTTGTTTCCCCGACATCAGAAAAACTCGGAGAGCTTCAGGTGAATGAGATGCTGCTGAACGATTTGTTGTGTTGTAACTAGGGTTGTAACGGTATGAATTTTTTACGGTATGATAATCGTCTAAAACAATACCACGGTTTGACGGTTTCGCGGTATACGGTATGTTACAAATGTTACAAAATAATAGAACAGTGAAGCAAATTTGACTTTTTCCAAATAATATATTTTCAGTTACTATAAACAACACCACTTACAATGAACAAATAAAAAAATAGGAAAATAATAAATAATGTGCCAAAGTCCAAATAAAGTCCAAATAAACATGGTGCAAATCCTCAGTAAAAAAATAGATATAAATATTTACTATACTATAAATAGTTACATAACGAAACTAGATTCAATATGGAACATCCTTAGGTTTTATGTGCCAGCATGGATATGGTTGTCTGTGGATATGGATTTGGATATGGTTGTCTGCAATGCAGACAAACAGCTGCACCTTCATTTGCGTCTTTTGAAAACAGCAAGAGCAGCAGTTCGTCTTTGCTGTGTCACTGTTTTGTCATGTTTCTGTGCTGCTGTGCATGCAAAAGTACTTAGTATGAGAATTATTTCATGCAAATGCATTCATGCATTTTTTTGCGTTTTATTTAGCCGCGCATAAATGTATGCCTATCTCTCATTCCGTGTTGTTCAAAAAGCTCATGTTGGTCCACAAACAAAAGCGAAACCTATGCTTATTGGTTGTGATATAGCGAGTTTGAACCAATCTGGGCATGGAGGAGGGACAACCGGAATGTATCATGTCTGGTTTGTCCGGAGACACAGTGACGAGCGTTTCTTTGTCAAATCAGCGTTGTCAAATTTTGATGACGTAACCGCACTGATTCCGGAGCCTCTGAAAGTCCGCAAATGTTATGTGATACAGCACTGGAAAGCTGAGATTCTCTTGTTTATGCCAATCTTTGAATTGTATGAATCGGATCAGCGGGTCAAAAGTTATTAAACATTGAAGAGCAATACTTATTTTTAGCCGCGGGCAGCTGTCTTGGTCTTTAAGGGTTAAAACCGTTGATATGCAATTGTTCATGGTATGATAATCGTGCACGTTCAAATCGTGGTAGACCGTCATACCGGTATATTGTTACAACCCTAGTTGTAACATACTGTAGGTTAGGGCTGCATGTTATTGGAAAAAAACTGATATTGCGATGTTTAGTTTTTCTGCAATATATATTGCAACATGAACATAATTTAAACAGACAACTTGAATAGGTTAGTTTTGAAAGACTTCATTTTATATTGATTGGGTGGATTTTGTGAGACAGATAATCAGCATCAATCAAACATATAGCGTTTTCTGGAATGTCTTACTTTATTCAGACACAGAATAAAAAAAAATCTAATGTAGATAAATAACACTGCATAGGCTTCATTGTATAAAAAATGAACAACTGACCCATGTTAAAACTACAAATGTTATAATTTTTTATGCACAAATGGTTTGAATACACATCTCACAGTCATAGGCCTTAAAAACAAAACAAAGCAAATGAAAAACGGTCAATCTATTAAAGCCTTTTAAAACTTTAAAATGTGGTTCCTGGTCAATAATCCAACTTCAACTTCTTAATGGACGAATAAACTAAAACTAAACTTCACCGGACATTGCAGATCTTGCAATGTGACTATTGCTTTAAATATCGATGCTGAAACTACATTGTGCAGCCCTAACATAGGTTTAGTAAGTTTGTGTTTATTTAGCTGGTCAAATTCACAGATAAATATGTGTGGATTAAATGGATAGCTTACTTGAAAATAAAAAATTCTGTTATCATTTACTTTCCATTCACTTGTCACACACTTGTTTGTGTTTCATCTGATGAACACAAAAAAAGTTATTTTGAAAAGGAAACAGGTAACATTATTTGTTTTTCTTATTGTGGAAATGAATGGTTACCAGTTTCTTACATTCTTCAAAATATGTATATTGTATATTTATATAAGAAAGAAACTCAAAGGTTTGGAACTTGAGAGTGAATAAATAGTGATTAAATATTAATGTATTATTTCTTTTAGAACAAAGACATTGTCATGCATCAAGTCAAGTTTAACACAGATTTTTTTTTGTACATAAAAAAATATTGAGTATCATGTACTTTTACTATGATTTACTGAAGACTTGCACTTGTCAAACAGGTAAAAAAAAATAGAAAAAAATGCAGTCGGCCATGAAAAATCTGTGCATTTTATGGTCTTATCTTCACAAATGTTAAGTGAAGATGACGTATAAAAATCTATGGAAAGACTCTTATTAAGAGGTATTGAATTGAACCAATTCCTGTATAATCCCTGTAGTAAATGCTGAACTATGATTATATAATGCTTTACATGTATTGTTTATTTTTAGTTTATGTAAATGCATTAATCAATTGAACTTTATTGTAAAGTTTGAGCTTTATTATTTATTTATAATAATAATAAAATTAATGTAACAAAATAAAATTATGTAATTATATAAATAAAATAAAAATACAAATTTTTTATTTTTTATATAATTTTTTTAAATTTCTGTTTTCATTTTTTATTTCAGTAATTATAGAATTTTAGCTCATTTTATTTCATCACGTTTTATGTTCTACTGTATGTTGAATTATACATTAGCTTTTCTCATATATTATAGGTCACACTTGCCCTGGAAGCGTTAACAGAAGGATATGAGAGCAGTAGTTCAGTGCCCACTACTGATATGAGCCTCGACGCACAGACTCTTGTTGTAACCGACCACAACAAGCCAGTCCAGCCGTCCCTGGATCAGGCTCTGTTGCGTGTGAAGGAGACAGATGCCAGCAGCTCTGGACACATGCCCAGGTTTGATCATTTGACTGCTGAATGAACAAAATCTAATTGAATCACTCAACTGACATGCTTATAGGGCATAGGGCTTTTACAGCTTGGCTCAGATTTTTACCCAAATATTTTTATTAACATCACTTTTTTTTTTTAGTTTTAACATAGACACACATACACAAACAATACAGAAATAACAAAAAAAAAAAACTTAATAAATAAAAAGAGAATGGAACCAGCAGGTCACCAGAGATGTCATTAAAGACAAACAAGATAAACTTTCAGAAAACAGCCCGGAAACATTATAATGCGCGCGCTCGTTAATATAAACCACGGTTGTCTTCAACTGTTGTCTTCAACGGTCTCTTTGCTCAACAACTCTGCTGAAAAACAAAGCAAAACATTACAACAGTCAGACATAGAGCAAAGAGCATAGAATCACCAAGAGGCGACTCTCTTTAATCAGGTCTTGATTTTCCTTGTTCATGCCACTCAACCTAGTCGACACACATCGAGTCACCAACAATACATCTTAAAAAAACTTAGAAATGTAATTATTTTTCTTACAATAACACTTGTTTAAAAGTTCTCCATGTATTTACACTGACATCGACAGCCACGAGTCAGAACACTGTTTATATTTCTGCCACGCCACAGAGCGCCATCTGAATAGTTTCATATAAAATAACATTTGAATGTGCTCATCTAGTGTTTGATACTTACCAACTGTCATGTGCACACCATGGTGCGGTGCATCCGTTGTGCGACCCGCTTTAGTCCCTTTTTTGTCATATATATTTTTATTATTTTTCTAAATGATTTTTATTTTTTATATATTTCATATGTTTTTTTTTTTGTTTTTGTTTTAGAGGAAAGGATTACTTGTATTTTCAACAAAGCAGTAACTTTGTGCCAGCTTCTTCAACTGGAATAGCTGAACATGCTTCTTCAAATAACCAGACATCTGCTGACCTTTTGTCAGGTATCTTTTGTCATTTATTTTATTCACAGAATTTAAAGACATACATTGCCATTGCTATTATTAAACTCAACATTGTCTTCCTGAAATAATTTATTTTAATAATAATAGATAAAGTTAAATTATTTGTCAAATCTTATTATTAATTCACTTCAGTGATCTGGATTTTTTTTAAATACAGTCCTGCCTTTATGGCAGTTCTGCTGGCAAATCTAGTCATAAAAAAATAAGACAGTGCTTTACACTTAATTGTTTAATACATTTTTTGTATTTTTCCAGTCCTTTTGGAGCGTGGCAGCAAACTCAGAAATGCCATGGTGATTTCTGCCCTGAAGTCTGATGTGGAGGTAGATGTTCCTCTGAAGAACGATCCCCTGCCCCTTCCCAAGGACAACACTGCTTCTTTGTATGAACTCTTTTATTTCAGTCGTATAACTAAGAGGGGTCAAAATGAGACAATAAAATATGCAAATATGAAATCTAAATAATCATCATCTTTTCTTTAAGGCAAGGCAGGCCCTTATCGGGACAGTTTCTGGAGAACATCCTTCAATCTGAGATCCAGCTTCCTGCTCAGGACCTCACAGACCCAAGGCAGCAAAGAGCCCACACAGAGGACATGGCTGTGGATCTGCTGCTTGGGAGGTATTAGATTAAAAATCATAAAATATGTATTTTTCCTGGTAAAGTGTTATAACTGGGTTCTCTGTTCGTCTATTAATCCAGAAAATGTGAAAAAGACAAGCAAGTAAGTTTGTTTTGCCAATTTCTTTTCTGCAAGTTTGGGAGAAACAGATTTCAGCACTTAATATGCATGTTTCTTGCAACATCGCAACTCAAATATCATTCATTCATTCATTCATTCATTTTCTTTTAGGCTTTGTCCCTTTATTAATCTGGGGTCACCACAGCGGAATGAACCGCCAACATGTTTTACGCAGTGGATGCCCTTCCAGCTGCAACCCATCTCTGGGAAACAAATGTTATTCACTCAGCAAAAATATAAATGCAACATTTTAGTTTTTTTGCTTCCTTTTTTTATGAGGTAAATTCAAAAATATAAAACTTTTTCTATGTATGCAAAAGGCCTATTTCTCTCAAAAACCTTGGCCTGGCTGAGGCACAACCGTGCAATAATCATGCTGTCTGATCAGATTAGACAAATATTTGAACAATAGGGGGCTAAAAATTCTGACTTCGTCTGTATATGTTTACATCTTATAAAAAGGGGCATAGTGGCAACGCAGTGACGCAGTAGGTAGTGCTGTCGTCTGACAGCAAGAAGGTCGCTGGTTCGAGCCTTGGCTCAGTTGGCATTTCTGTGTGGAGTTTGCATGTTCTCCCTGCGTTCGCGTGGGTTTCCTCCGGGTGCTCCGGTTTCCCCCACAGTCCAAAGACATGCGGTACAGGTGAATTGGGTAGGCTAAATTGTCCGTAGTGTATAAGTGTGTGTATGAATGAGTGTGTGAGGATGTTTCCCAGAGCTTGGTTGTGGCTGGAAGGGCATCCGCTGCTTAAAGATGTGCTGGATAAGTTGGTGGTTCATTCCGCTGTTGCGACCCTGGATTAATAAAGGGACTAAGAAAATGAACGAATGAAAAAGGGGCATAATATGTCTCCTTTAAGTGAAGAAAATGAAACTTTGCTTACAAATATTTAACATAGTTGTTTGAATCTTTTAGAGTGAGCTTGACGTTTTGGTCTGTGGATCTTTTCATCAGTGTTAATGGATCTGTGCTGCAGTTCTGGGATGGCGAGGGCTCTCTTGCAGATTCTCTGTCTGATCACAGCAGTTTGCTAATGGACAGTGAGCTCAACGACCCTCAGTATGATCAGAGTCTTCTGGAGAACCTCTTCTACAAACCACCTGTAAGCCATGCAATGCAACCCAATGAACTAGTTCTGCAAACATTGCTGTGTATAGCTGTAATATGTTTTCTTATTTTAGATGTCAGATGAATGTTTGGAGGAGGACCATCATAGAAAAGGCACAACAGAGAAGCCTGTGCACACAAATCCAGCCAAAAATGCCCGGTCAGTTAGTGTAATACAAGAAACAAGCCCCAAAACTCAATTGATTGATTCATTTTTAGTGTAATTTAATAAGAACTTATAATAACATTTAATAATTTCAAATAATCCTGATTTTCAGAAACAGATTTATGTATTGTACTTTTAATTTAGGATATATTATAACATTGTTTCTCAACCACGTTCCTGGAGGACCACCAACACTGCATATTTTGGATGACTCCTTTGTCTGTCACACCCATCACAGGTCTTTCAGTTTCTGCTAATGAGCTGAAGATCTGAATCAAGTGTGTTTGTTTAGGAGACATGGAAAATGTGCAGAGATGGTGGTTCTTCAGGAACGTGGTTGAGAAACAATGTAATATAAAATAATATATTTAATTATATGCTGAATTGATAAATAAAAAAAATATGCACAAAATGTAAAACATAATAAATGTAAAGGTTCCGTAGAATGAAAATTAATAGCATGACCATGGAATGTTCATATACGCATTGTACATTTTCAGCGCCACCCTAAAGAGGCATATGATCTGTTTAACTGTATGTTTTGTTAACTTGAAATTTCCTTTGTATATTTGTAAAAATTCAACAAACTTCAAAATTTTGATCAATATGACTTATCCTTGCTGAATAAATATTTTAATTTCTATTAAAAACTCTTACACAACGTTTGAGGTAGGATAATAACAACGTATATAAATATTGTCACGGATTCATAAAGGTACACAAATATTTGTACAAGCATTAACAAATATAATTATTAAATAAATAAAAATAAATAAATAAAACAATATTACTAACACAATGAAATAAAATGTATTTAAGTAAAATAGGATAAAATATATTTCAAATACTTTTTGTTTTTAACTTTTATTCCTGTTCTTTGTGGTGAAAATTCTCTCTCTTTTTTGAAGGCTTGATCCTGGTGTGCAACATTCAGAAGCAGGAGCTGATTTGCCTGGGCTTGGCATGGAAAAAATAACTTTGCTTGGTGATATTCGTTTTGCGAGGGTCACTGTCAGTGAGTTAAAACTTCCTACAGAAAGTACCTCAAAAAGTCTGTCTAGAAAAGGAAGACCACCTCGGCCTCTCTCCACAAAGAAGTGGTATGACATTTAGGATAAATCAGAAAAGATGACGGTCACTAGAAATCAGTTTCAGTGTATTAAAACTAACCTAATGCACACTTGTCCTGTTTGTCTAGTTTTTATATTGTAGAGTACCTCTTTCCACTGCTCTCTGCTGGGTATGAGAGTGTTCAGCAGGTTCCTTCAGAGATTACAAAAGTTGTCTCTAGTAAAGTTACAGATGGGGGTGAGTACATTAGTTTTGAAGAACTTTAATAAAACTTAAGCTGACAACAATCTGCTATTTATTTATTTATTTATTTATTTATTCATTCATTTTGCTTTAGCTGTGTTGTTTCAGCATCAAAGTTTGTTTCCAGTGAAGTTCAGTAGGTCATCTATTAAACAGTGGTGCGAGATGAAGGTCACATTCAAGATCTACTCCAAATATAGTCTTCAAAAAACAGTAAGTGCAATGTGTCAATCATAAAATCTACACACTTCAGACTAAGCTGAAAACTAAAGACTCTTGTATGATTTTATCTGGCCTGATCTTGCCTTGTTTGTTGTTTAGCCTATTCTGATTGGCTCAGCTATGTTTCCACTGAGCTCCTTGATGCAGAGTGAATCGCTGAGCATTTCTTCTGCCCTGCCTGTACAAACAGCTAATGGAAACACTGATAAGCAACAAGTTGGTCCTCTGAAGGTAATGCATCAGTCTTAGTCCTTGATAGGATTTGAAAGTTTTTTACAAAACTTGTATTATTATAAAAAAAAAAAAAAAAAAAAAAAAAAATATATATATATATATATATATATATACATATATATATATATATAATAAAAAATGTCAATTTACTATCATATGTGGTTATTTGCATTATAATGGGTTTAATATTTCACCATTTTGAAATGATATGGTTCTAGCTGAATTCTGGGTGGTTTCGAGATTTTTTCTAGACGTTTTTGCGTTCTGTATAGCAAAGGATAAACAGAACCAATCTGTTTAGTACACAAAACTGCTAGAGACCCTATTGGTATTTAATATATCAATATCATAATCATTTCAATTTTGTAAATGTGTATTTTTGTATCAGATCAAATGGAAATGTAACATTTGAATTATAAAAAATATTGTAAGGTTTTGTTTTTGCAAAACATAAATTAAAGCTATTTTTTAAAGAAACAATCAGTGTATATTTGATCTAATATGATGAAAATGAGAGAATGTGTATAAAATGGTTTTATTTTTATTTTATATTTAAGATTTGTTTAATATTTTAGGAGAAATTTTCTTGATCAATAATAAAAGACAGTGCTTAATATTTTGACACAGTACATTTTAGGCAGTAATATGGTGGTCAATTAAAGACTATATTGCAGGAACCATTGGTTAAATTACTGTAATTTGTTGCAGTTTATTTAGAGGTTGGCATAACTGAACATATATGCCAATGTTAATCGTTGTAACTAAAACCACATCTATTAAACTGTTGACTTTTTGACGTTTAAGGTTGAATATTGTAAAATTTGACTTAAAAAAAAATACAACAAAACATATGCAAGCTTACAAATAGAATCACATCAAACAAAGTTAAAGGTGCAGTAGGGGATTGTCTTCAGAAGCATTTTTTTTTTGTTGTGCTGGTTGAAAGTCTCTTCACATTCCGATAGTATTGATTAAAGTAAATGGTCGAAATATATTTATATATATTTTTATATTCTTGGTACGGCATAAGATTAAAAAGTGTTCCTCCAGTTAAAACTTGTCAGGCAGATAATTCCCATAATTCTGTTTAGTAGCCCAAACTGTCTGTCTGTACAAAAAACAAAGGATTTGTACACCTGTGCACCTGTTCACGCAGACAGCTCCGTGCACATGAGTTTACTTGCTCATGAGAGAGTGATAGCAGTAAAAACAAATGCTGAATCAAAAGTTTTTAAAATCCTAAATGAATATTGTAGTTACTTTTGCATTCTGTAGGAAGGATGACACCACGGCTGAAGTATTTCTGGTGTAGATTGTGTTGTTTTACGAATGGGTTATATGCACAGAAGTGTTGTTCAGCCACTGAAATCTTCCGTCGAAAGATTGATGTGACTTTTCAGTTTCATAAGTAGCATGTAAGTATGGCTTAATAATTTGAAATTCCTGCACCCCGCTGGCCAACCACTAAGCATACAGTAGACACTTTAGGACAAAGCGTGTGAGAGAGTAAGACCAGCGATCCTTGCATTCATGAAATATTACACATTATTCCACATCAAGTTTTGCTTGCTAAGCAACTGAAGACGTGCTAGATATAGTAGTTTTATATCGGAATTGTAGTATTATAAAGTACTATTAAGTTTTCTAACTGGCAAACAACATGTCCTAGTGGGTTGTCTGCTGTCATCTTTATGGTGCACAATCGTGATTTCAGGAGGCGTGGCTTTGGACAGCAGGGCAGGGACTGTGATTTCAAAGCTGTTATGCTAACGGATAGCATTTTGGCAGATCACCTACTGCACCTTTAAAGTTTGACTGCATGGATTAAACATTTTTTGTTTTCTGAACAATTCACAAAATTTGACAAACAATGTTAGATAGAACCTTATAATTTCAGGGTGACCTTTTGGTTCCATAGGTCTAGAGCTAAAATTAAGGATATTGTATTAATGTAACTGATTAATTCTTGTTGCTTATTTGTTTTTAAAAGGTGACCTTTGAGTTAGCAGAGGACAAGAATAATTTCTCCTCTAAAAAAAGGCCTGCAAAGCAAATGCTAAGTCCACAGAGACCTCTCCCTTCCCTTCTGACAGAAGAACATGATGAACCGAAGGGTTTATGTGTGAGCAACAGCAGGAGAGACCAGTCACCTCAAGCGCAGAGTATTCTGATTCCTCCTGCTAGAACACGATCCACGTCACCACACGTCAGATTCCAGAGCTCTATTCAGCAGCAGGAAATGGAGGACACTGAGATTCTGCTGCATATGTTACTCATGGTGCCTAATGGGAAAGATTTGAACTGTGCACCTATGCAGCCCAATGTCTACCTGAACTGCAAGCTTCTTGGATCTGATGAAACTGCCCGATCTGCAGTGAGCTGGGGTCAGAAACATCCAACATTCAGCTTTACTCAAGTAAGAAGAATTGAGGAAAGGACTTTTAGTCCCGTTTAGTGGTAGGCACAGAATAACTTTGTTTCTAACGTGATACAGGTGGCTCCAGTCGCACTGAGCCCCAGACTGTTGGAGAGAATGAAGAATAACATGATGGTCATTGAAGTCTGGTTGAGGGCCAGCAGCTCAGATCATGATAAACTCCTCGGCTTGGTAAAACTACCACTCCACCAGTTTTACATGTCCTTCCGGTAGGTTTGAGGAAATATATATGTGCATGTGTGTTAGGGCTATAACAATATTGGAAAAATTTGACATTGCAATATTTTGTTTGGTAACTTTTTATTTTGATGGTCTATTTGAGTATTAGTAGACTGTCTGCTTAATGTCTGTTGATACGCTCCTTCAACAGACATTTAACTGACTATAAGAAACTTTGCAAGTACATGTCATCTTGCACTAACCCTAATTCCAACCCTAACATATACTTATAATCTAGGGACAAGTAGTTGGCATGTAGATGCAATGGAACTTGATGTATCAAAATAAAGTGTGACCTTTTGTTTTTCTATAATTTCATCTGATGACTTGAATAGCTCTATTTGGAAAGAAATCATTAATAAAAATGATTGGGATGATTGTAAAGGGGAGTGCATCTGCAGAAAATGTAATAAACAAATTAAAATAATAGATAAGTACAATAGAGCACAGATAAAAGTGAAATAAACACTGCCTTGTGGTTTCCGGGTATTCAGGTACAGATTCAATAATTAAATATGAACTAACTCTGTGTAGACTTCATTGCATGAATAATTAAATACAATTAATCACTATTAAAGCTACACATTTCTTATGCTTAAATGGTTTAAATTCACTTGAAATCTTACACAGGCCTTAAAAACGCATCTAAAATGGAAATATTTCATTCTGTTTGGAATAAACATTACAACGACTCCACAAATCTCATGTGTCCTGAACTACACTCAAAAAAATTATTCAGCTGCTTTTTTAAACATTTTATTTTAAATAAGCTGGTTTAACACAATTCTTGAGTTTTTTGGGGGTAAGCTTAATTGCTTTATGCTTAATTCACTTAAAGTTAACTGGAACATGAAGGAATTGTGTGGAATCCATCATTTTTTGCAGTGTATGGTGCCTGGTCATTATAATTCCAATTTAACATTGAAGATCCTGCGATGTGTCTATGGCAGATTCACATATTGTGATATTGATGTGAAAATGAGATATTGTGAAGCCATAATGTGTGTAAATGTACATATACAATGCCCAGAATAAATGTTTAAAGCTGATTCTAAATATAAGTATATTAGTCAAACTGAAATAACAACAGGTGGCACGGTGGCTCAGTGGTTAGTGCTGTCTCTGGTTTAAGTCTCAGTTGGACCAATTGCCATTTTTGTGTAGAGTTTTTGCGTCAGTTTCCTACGGTTTCCCCCACTTTCCAAAGAAATTCATTATAGGTGAAATGAGTAAGCTAAATTGGCCGTAGTGTGTTGGCGGTTCATTCAGCTGTGGCAACCTCTGATGACTAGGGGACTAAGCCGAAGGAAAATGAATGAATTAATGAATGAAATAACAACAGAACATAGATCTGTAATTAACCTTTTTTTCTTTTCAGAGACCCCAAGATCTCGGAGCTGCTCCTGCAGTCTCAGTATCCAGTGGTTGGAGTGGACAGTTATATGCCTGTGGTGGATGTATTTAGTGGCAGCACGCGAGGAAACCTCAGGGTGTGTTTAGCAATGGGTCAAGCACAGCAGGTCATGGCCCTGCAGCGGATGAGGGACGACGAGCTGAGCCACGACACACCAGTGCCTCGACCAGCACACATGCTAGACCACCGGCCACACACAGAAGCCAAAGCAAGTTTACGCTGCGATAGAATGCATGTACTTTAAGATATTTATATGAATATTTTAACATTTTAGATTTAAATAGGTTTTATATGCTCATTTATATCTGCAGGAATTACATATATAATAAAAAGCTTGGTTTTATAATAGTCATAAATATCAATGAGCTCGTCTAAGACTCTCTGCAGCTCATGTCATTACCTGACGTTGACACGTACACACACACACAAACTCACACTCACATAGTGTGACATACTCTGAAATACACATACAAAATTACCATACTTCAGTTCTCCTAAAATATTGACTAGATACCTTGTTAAATCATAATCTTTTCAGCTGAAGTGATGGATAGGTTTATTCTAGCTAGGAGTGAGTGTATGAAATGAAAATTTGCTCCTTATGGTTGATATAAAGGCTAAATTATAATTATACTCAACAAAAGAGGCCGTCAGAGATGTATTTAGAGTTGTATTTTGTTTTTTACAAGCATGTGAACAGTGCAGGAATTAATATGCCTTAACTTAAATAAATGTATTATCCAACTTTCAAAAATTTTGCATTCTGACAATGAACTGTGACGTTAGAGCAGATATTCATTGACTAATTGTATTATCTGGGAGCTCTATAATGCCAGTCTTGTTTTCAAAATGAGAATCTGACATACAAAGTGTAATTCAAGCTTGGATAAACTTAAAAATGAGGGGAAAGTGATCATTGTTTGAATCTCATTTGGAAGCATTATGGCTAATCGAGCGCAGCTTGGGGGATGCATAATAATAATCCCATGTGCAGTCTGTGTTTTGATCTGATTGGCCTGGTTTTCACCAGGATTTTGTAATTGGAGAATTCACATAAGAGCTAGCCAACAATAGTGTTTAATTCTAATAGTGTTTAATAGGGTATTTAATTTCTATGTGCCAAGCTCCTATTATTCTTAATAATTAACGAACTCCAGATTTTCAGTCTATAGGACCTTGAAAATTGCAATTTATTACACCTCCACTGCAGTAGTCTGCATTTTTGTTTACTCACTATTTAACAGCCAGAGTCTGTTATAGTCTGTTTCTTTCTGCCAGAAAACATCACCATTTCTATTGTTGGATGCACCAATGACCATGGCAGTCTCCATAGACTCCTGACATCTAAGCCACTGATGACATGGAAAATAATCCTTTTGGCTTTTTGTCTGTGTGAGATTTGATTGTTTTGTCGTTTCTGGAGTGTCAGAACAGTGGTTAAAGCTCCGCCCTCTTCTGGAAAGCAGCAGCTCATTTGCATTTAAAGACACAGACTTAAAAATTGATCGTTGGTGTATTTTGAACTGAAACTGCACAGACACGTTATGGGGCCACCATATATTTATTTGACAACTTAAAAACAATGTCCCATATTAAAATGGACCCTTAATGTATGATGAATATTGTTTTAGGCCACTTCAGATGTCCTGCTTGAGCATGTGTTCATGGTCCGGGTCGAGAGAGTAAAGGGTCTGATGCCTCTGCAGTCCACAGTATGGGGTGAAGCCGACTGCTATATCCAGTACTCTTTTCCTGCCCAGAATGAGTCAAGAGAGGACATGGACACACATGCTGTCGAGAGCCGTAAGCTGGTTCCTTGCTCACTGTATATATATAACCTTTGATTGAGTTTAACCAGCTGTATTTTGCACAGACGTGGACTTGAAAGCGTTCCGCTCTGAGACCACTCTCTGTGTGCCCGACCCTGTGTTTGGACACAATGAGACTCACGTCCTGCTGGCTCCGCCTGACGTCCCAGTGCAAAAGCTACTGCTAAACTCACTGGCCCATCAGGGACTGAGGGGTGGAGGAGGAGTGCAGTTTGAAGTTTGGTGCAGGTACTGTTTGATGTTTGTTTATTTATTCTTTTATTCATTCATTTATGATAACGTGGATCCCTAATTTAAAAAATATATATATATTATTTTATTTATTTGTTTGTTTACATTTTAGCATTTCAAGGAAGAGCCTCTTTTGTTTGATAATATTTCAATTTTAGTTGTATTAAATAAAAAAATAAAATGCATTTGGTTTTAATATTTCTTGTATTGATTTTCAAGTATACACATTCACAAACCACACAACTCTTACCCAGAATATCCAGCTGTCAATAATTCAGTCTGAAATTAAATGTGTATGGAGAGACATAATAATAATAATATTAATATTAATAATAATAATAGAAATAAATGCATAAAGAAATAAATGCAAAAAGAAAAACAAAAAGAAAATTTGTACATATAAATACAAGTTGACACTTTCCAACAGCGAAAAGATAAATTATTTATATTTTTTGTTTGAAATTTAATTACTTATTTGCTTATTTGGAATAGAATAATTTTTTGGGAATATTTTCATTAGTTTATTTATTAAAGGTATCTTCTTTTTATTTTGTTATCATAATATTACTATGAAATGTATGATTTATGTGTTTTTTTTTTCATTGAGCTTTTTGAGAATAACACATGCTTGTTATTTAGTGATGTTTTCTTATTTATTTTCTTTTTCATTTTTAACGTTACTAAATGGGTCCTTTTAATTGACAATCGTTTTAAGGTTGCATCTCCATCCCTCTTTTCATTTTAGGAATTCAAAGGGCCCTATCATACACCCGGCGCAATGTGGCGCAAGGCGCGGCGCAATATAGGGTCATTTTGAGCGCATTTGCGCTCAAATGTGCGCCCATAGGTGTTCTGGTCTAAAAAAGCAGGCGTGTTTTGGCGCGTTGCTATTTTGAGAAACTGTAAATAGTCTGTTCTTTAGACCAGAACAAAGTCGGTCTATTGTCTGGCGCAAAGTGCGCCTGGCTTATACACTACAAACAAGATGCAGAGCAATACGCAAATATCTTTCCATATGAAAAATATATAATATCTTAAGGATGTGTATATATATATAAGGATATATACAGGTTATAAATATAAATGAAATATTACAAAACATATTAATTTCTAGCCTACATGAAGATTTTAAAACCACTCCCTTACTTTCTTCATCTCGGGAGGCTTTTTCAGTTCATTCAATTTGCTTTTGTATAATGTTGTTATTATTATTAGCAGTATTATTTATTATATCCATATTTATATTTGTTTTATTAAAAACAAGCTTAGATTTGTCCACCTGTCAGGTTTTAGACCATATGGGGCATGGCAGGTGTATTTGGAAATAACTCAGTATTTTGACCACACTTGGTTATTATTGTTCATTTATTCGTTTGCTAGAAATTAGAACTGAATTTGGAAATAGTTTTGAAACAAATCTTTGCGCTTAACAAACGAAATTAATTATTAATAGGCTAATTGATGTCTGTGCGTAAAGGTTTCCCTAACCACGAAAGCAAAAGCTAAAGTGAACTTACTTTACGTCAAAATGCTCTTATGGCGCGACGCAGCTGGCTCTTAAAGGGAATGGGAGATGAGACTCTAATTGGTTCATTCTCAAAACACACCTATAACTCATTAAGAAAATAAACTCAACCCTTTTAGACCATGCGCCATGGCGCAAAGCGGATTTTCCCGTCCTTAAATTAGCAAAAATGCGTTCTGACACGCCCTGAAAGCGTTTGCGCCCTGCGTTTTGCGCTCTGCGCATGGATCGTCAAAATAGAGCCCAAAATGTCTATTTTTTTTTATTGGATAATATAAAAGTAAACAAACAAATCTTAAAAGTCTTTTATTTCGTAGTATTGTTTTATTATTTACTTGCTTGATTGTAGACTTGTTTACTGTTAAAAATCATTTTTAGGTATTATTACCCAAACGTTCGAGATCAGCTTGTAGCCAGAGGACTGCTGCCCATGTCCAAGCTGTGTGCCATGGTGACCATGCAGAAACAGGGCCAGACAGAGGCACAACATTTCTCCCTTCCTCTGATACCAAGAACCGACCGGCCTGTAGATGCGCAACCCCAGCCACCTGGTACCCGTGCATCAAATTCTCTCAAAACAGAGGGCATAGACAGGATAACATCAATCTGAGTCGTATCTATTTCTGTCTCTGCTTGTCTTTAGGGCAGCTTGAAGTGACCGTTCAGTACAAGTCTCGACCAATGAGGAGTGTGGGACTGAAGAGTGGTGTCGTTCCCTCCCGCAGAGTAACACTGGTTGTGCAGATTCATAGAGCCGCTGGACTGCAAGCTGCAGCCAAGTGAGTCAATCTTAGTTTCAGTTTCCATTATTTTGTCATTCAAAACATCACAGTTATGCAGAACGAAATTACATTACATTGGCACCCGGCAAGAACATTAAAAAGCATCAGAAAACACTGTAAAAACCGAATATAATAAATAAGCTTTTGTAATTTTATAAACATATAAAAAATGTTGATGCGTATAAAATATAAACCAATTTAAAATCTCAAAAAGAAATGAATAATCTTAAAAACATTCATTGCATAGTGTGTTAAAATAGTATGAAATCTGACATATGTACTTATTTGACTGTTTATGCTTTATTTTTATTTCCTACTGGCTATCAGTAATATTTTAAAAGACAGAAAAGTTAATGTTTACAGCATCTACCTTTTAATCTTACTGTTGGATCTTAAAGGGGTGATCCACTACAATATCATATTTTAAACTTTAGTTGATGTATAATGTAGCTGTGTGAACATAAACAGCATCTCTGTTTGTAAAAGCTCAAAGTTCAATGCAAAGGGAGACCTTGTTTTTTACAGAGTTAGCTTAGCAAAGCCTACAATGAACGAATTTAGGGACTACAAAAAATACTTCCTGGCCTGTGAAATCACAAACGTACTTTTACCGCGCGCACACATTGTGTAGTTAAGGGCTGTGTCCAGAGGCGCTGTAATGTTACAGCAGAGGGAGAAAATGCCGTCCTGCTATTTCCACTGAGCTTCTTCTGTTTCTGTATTTGGGCTTCTAAATGACACGACACAAAGACAGAAGTGCTTACAGTTCAATATTAATTAAGTTCCAGAGAATTATAAAATACATAGCAAGCATGAATTGACAAAAAACAGCTTCCAGAACCTGTCCCAGTTCAGTGCTGGATTCGGTTAAAATCTCCTCAAAGAAGGAGCAGCTACCACAAGCAGAAGATGTGGACCCTGAGGCCACAACCTGTAAGTGTTTTTATTTGTTAAAATTAATTATGACATGCACAGTGTCTAGCCTTAATTGTATGCTGTTGCAAAGATGTAAAATGGGAAATGCTGTTTGGCATCGCTAACAATTTAGCTACAAATTCATATTTATCAGTTAAACTGCTATAAACACGCACACACACACACTCTTCACCAGCACATGCGTATCTCTCTATAGGCAGCTTTTCCATGTGTTTTACATCTCAGATAATGAACTCGCAAAAGATATGTGAACGATTCATATTACTTACACATGCATATTCAGAATATATGTAAAAGATGCCATGTAATGCGTTGAGTTAAAAAAATACAGGAGAGCTCGTCTAACTTGTGTAGCAGCAGAAAAATCAATCAAGGCTCACACAGGTCTCATCTCACATCTTGTGCTTTATTCTTCTGTCAACAGCGTCACTGTACAGCAAATAACTTAATCCAAGCATCAGAGAAAAATAAAAATAAACATCAGTCCTGCGCACATGGGCTGTTCGTGTTACACGCGTCTATAGACAGGTCACACACACACACATAAATACACACACACACACACAATGGCAAACTCTCTTAAAGGAGCCACACCCCATTTTCACTCGTTACAGACACATGTCAGATTTTATTTTAGAGAGCGGTTAAAATTCTAAAAGAGTTAGCTGCTAATCAGCAAAACAGTTCAATTCACAGGTGTTAATCTAATCAGCCTGACAGATTTAAATGGAGACAAAGCCACAGTCGTTGGGACCTTGCCTAATGGTCAGGAAGTGCATAAAGACAGTAGGGTAGTGCCTTCAACATGTGGCCTTTGACAGTTTTGAATAAAATTAGAATTTTTAAAACACAAATAATATATATTAGTGCTAATTTTTAACTAGCATTTTTTCACATCATCTTTGTTTTGTTTTTCAGAGCTCTTGCAGACTCAGACAGCTCGCTGGACTATTACTCTAAAGTGGGCCTGAACTCATTCATCACTGTGCAGCTCTCCTTCTTGCCGGACAGTGAGTCTCGTAGCACACGTGTGGCAGCCAGGAGCTTCTGCCCAGAGTTTGAGCATCACACTGAGTTCTGCTGTAACCTGCTGGTGCAGAGAGACAGTGGAGAGAGCGTCAGTCTGGCTGAACTTCTGCAGGATGCTGTGGCTATCTTCACCGTCTTCAACAGAGACACACGCAAAAGTTAGTTGAACAACATCTAGACAGTAGACACACTCACATCTTTTCTCTTAATGCTCTTGCATTAATGCTGTTTGGATTTCTTTAGGCAGCAAATGTTTCCAAAAATGCAATGATTATTTATATAACCTCATATTACAAAATATCTAAGAATGTGTGTAGCTCTACGTTGTAAAAACACAATTAGTTAAACCTAGTGATGCACTGAGAGAATTTTGTTGGCCAACGCAAAAAAAAAAAAAAAAGGCATTGGATGTTTGTTCAAACTACTTGTTTAAAATGAGCTGAAACAACACAATTCTTGAGGTTCTTTTGAGACAACTTAATTGTTTTCTGTTCATTCTACTTAAATTTGTAAAACTGATCATTTAAATTAATTTCTTCATGTTGTCCCAACACAAAAATTGATTGTTTGAAACCCAACTTTTTTTATAGTGAATAACAATTTTAACGGTTCTGATATAAATATTGGTCTGTTGCATACAGTACTAACTAGTCTTTTTTCCATTCAGTCAATTAGTTTTACTTAATATGGACTGGATTCATTCAAGAGTTTTCAGCATTTTAACAGAGGTTAATAAAAAAATTCCAATATGACAATTTGCAAAGGTGTTTTTTGCTATTCAGTATTTCTTTAACAACCGTAAATTGTATTATATATTGTATTTACATATAACTGAACATGTTTTTAAATGAGCTAAAGCTAGTGCTGTTGCTATATGTAAATTCTACATTTTGTTGCTCCAGAAAAAATTTGACTGACTAAAGTGCAGTCGGCTTCTTTTATTGTCTAAGATATTTTAGCTCAAATCAAACAAACTAAGTTATGTCGTAACGCTTATCTTTTTGTGTGATCACTCCATTTCAGTGCTGTAATTGTAAATACTGTTTACTTTGTTTCTTTTCATTGTAGTGGTTGATACAAGATCGAAGGACATTGTCTTGGGAACCGTGAAAATTAAGCTTGCAGATCTGATTCATAAAAGAAGTGGTATGAAAGTTTTGATTATAATGTTGTGTTGTGTTGCAGAATTTAGATCCTTTGGAAAACACTTTAGTTTAGGTACCAATTCTTAACTTCTGGCTTATTACCTGTCTATTAATAAGACATTGGCTGCTTATTAGTACTCTTACTCTAGCACTAAATGTTGTTGATTTGCTAAATGTATTATATTATTCTACATCGCTAATCCTGCTCAATACCTAAACTCAACTACTACTGTACATTACAAAATATAAATAAGCAGCTAATTAGTAGTTTATTGAGCTACAAGTCTTAATTAGTGGTATGTTTGTAGCGAGAATTGTACCTTAAAATAAAATGTGACTGTGTACTTTTATATAAAAAAGTGTGAATAGAAATAAACATTTTGTTTAACTGAAATAATATTTAATAAATATTTTTATTATTTATCTTTTTTATTTTTTTTATTGAAAGTATTAATATTTAAAGGTGCTGTATGTAAGTTTTTGACTCTTCTAAAACATAAAAATACCATAAAATCTTTGCAGATATTTAAGAAACATGCCATGTGAACATTCTTGTTTATCTGAAAAACAGTGCTGAAGTCAGATATTCTGCTTTGAAAATGTGAGTTGCGTGCTGAACGTCTGTATTTTGTGTTGGTTCTTTTACCCCCCACCCCCCCACCCCTCACTGCCACTTTAGCCAATTATATTTCAGCACCCCAGGTTGCCTTGTTGGAAAACAGCGTATGTTGTGACCTAAATGCGACACCAGGTGGACGGTAGCAGACTCCGAAATGAGACTCAGATTCAGAATTCCACATGAGGTCATTAATTAGCAAATAATATAAATAATACAAAGATAAACATTAGGTGAGCAGGTTACATTGTAACCCTGTGTCCTAACAACGCTACTTGACGAGATTTGCAGTGATATGTAATTTGGCTGTTTTCACCATACGAAACATGACAGAAATTTAAATTCAGCCATTCAGAAGTACAGAATATGCACTTACTGCTTTCCAACGAGATGCTTAAGGTTAATAATCTAATAAATACATATTAAACCTCTTTAACAATATTAAATGAACATGCTTAATCACGGATATATGTTGGTTTTCACAAATCTAAAATTCAGTTTTAATGGTTTATTTTCAAGATCTGACGTCTGCTGCTGCTTTTAGTAGTATGGCAACAAATGTAAAAATGTCATGTAAAATGGCACTCAAACACTCATTATTTGCATTTAACATTGAATAAAGCAAATGAGATGTACCTGAGGTGATCACAGTTTATCCTGTTGTTTACCAGTGAGAAATAACAGCAGTTTCTAAAAGTTTAAAAAATTTCAGGTGTTGGTTAGGACAAAAAAATTCTTGTAATATTGAAAATTTTGGTTCTTTTGTGTGACGTTGCTTTTATTTCGAACACTACTCAAATCTGCCTTTAGGCTCAATAGTTAGGCACACTTTTGTTGATGTTGTCAATCTGGCAACCTGCACTTGTGTGTGTTTTGAACCAGCCTTGCAATACCTAGTTCAACCACTGGGTGTCAAACTTACATACCGCACCTTTAATTGGATTCAAATGTAAAATCGTTTTGAAGTTGTTTTTTTTTGTCTCAAAGCTGAATTATAATGGAAATATAGTATTTTATATAATTTTTGTCATTTTTTTAAATCCATTTACAGGCATATCTGGCTGGTACAGTCTCTCTCATCCTCAGAGCACATCATCATCATCATCATCTCACGGTCTGACTTCGGCTGGAGGCCTTGAAATCTCCATTAGTTTCTCCCATCATGCAGACAGAGAGCGAGTCCTCAGTTCAGCTTGTGGTCTTGGATGGGACATAGAGGAACACAGTGAAGACGAGGCCAGCACTGAGGATGAGGATGCTTTAGAAGCGCACTCAAAGTCTCTAACATTTTCCATTTCAATGCCCAGAGCATGGCTGCCCATTCATTGCCTGCTGCTGCCTGGACATGAAGACCTACAGCGATCCACCTACTGCTACTACAGATACAAACTATATGAGCAGCACACCTTCAGTTCTGAGCTCAGACACCCCGTCGCAGACAAGAACCATGGAGACGAGGGATTGGCCACAGTGGCATTTCAGGTAGGGATGTGCAAATGGGTCAACCTTTATACATTAAAAGTGAATGAAAAACAAACTTATTATAAAGCCTTAAACTTATTATTATTATTGTTTAGATTTACACCTAAATTAAAAAAAAAATTTATGTCTAACTACTTTTTGTTTTTTATGTTATTACTGTACTCTTTTTTTATTTATTTATTTATTTTTTTTGCCTTTGTATGTTCATTGTTATAGAAACTGCAAAAAAAAAAAAAGAACTGCACAAAGAATCGTGGGTGCCTGAAGTGTCCATCAGTTGAACCCTTTAAAATCCTTCATTCCGAAGGGCCCTTTGAAGTGCCCAGTTTTGAGCACTTCGCTTTGAAATGACACTTCAATATAGTGGTCATTTTTGTTTGCACTCCGAAGTGCCCTTCAGAGGGCGATATATATCCCATTTGGAACACACCGAGAATTGTGTTTACACTTCTAGTTGACAGAATAAGGAAGTATTATGGAGTCAATCTAGGGCCATATATACTAGAAAAATAAAAAAAGTTTTGCAAACAATAAATAAAGTAGAGCAAAAAATAAATAAATGCAAATTTCTAAAAGTTGCATTTATTTTTTAGAAATAAAAATTAAATTTGCAAACAAAAAAGAACTGCACATAAAAATCAAGCAGTACATAAAAAAACTATAAATTTTGCAAAACATTTTTTATAGCATTGCCTTTACAAAACCAAGCGATACAAGGAAACTTGGGCATTTACTGCAGGCCCAGACCTACTGGGATGTAAGACCACCTCGGTTAGGGGTGGGGTTAGGTGAGCGCATTAAAAAGCATTAGATTAGATTGCACTGGGTTTGCATTCAGACCCCTCTCAAATGAGCATTTTGACTCAAAGGGTTTGGTAAAGGCAATGCTATAAAGCATGTTTTATTGCTTTATATATATATTGCTTTTTTTCTTTCAACAAAAACACATGAAACTTTAAAACCAAATGATGTATACATTTTTTTTATAATAATTGAGGCTTTATTTATGTTTGTTCATGCTTTTTGTTATGCACTTTTATTGTATGTTTTTTTTTCCTTTTAAAGCAGAGAATATTATTTATGAGCTTGTTGGGGGATGAGCTTTAAAAACATGTTCTTAAATACTTCCAAAAATGAGCAAATGTTATTCGTTTAAAAATAAAGTCCTTAAACTTAATTGAAAAAAATATTTATTTTGTTTATGAGCTTAAACATTAAAATGTAATGTTGACTGTTTCAGGGGGGCAGAAGTGTGATCTTGAGGAGGACTCGACCCCTGCACTGGTACCTGAGGGAGGAGAAGCTGGAGGTGCAGCTGTGGGTCACTTTTGGGAAGGAGAAGAGGGTCCGACCGCATAATGCAGACCGTCTAGTGGGCTCTGCTTTTGTGGATCTCTCTGCTCTTGCTGGAAGCTTGAAGCAACATCAGACTATCAGTGGTAGAGATATTTGCTATTTTTGTTATTTACTCTCAAATGGATAATTTGTTTCCTTTTTTCAACGCATTTTTTACTTTAAATTTATTGTACCAAATACAATTGTATTACAGTTTTAGATGACTTTCCGTTTATTGCATTTATTTGAATGTCTTCAGAACTGCCTTAATTCTTTGTGGCATAGATTCAACAAGGTACTGGAAATATTCCTCAGAGATTTTAGTCCATATTGACATGATAGCATCATGCAGTTGCTGCAGATTTGTCGGATGCACATCCATGATACAAATCTCCCATTCCACCACATCCCAAAGATGCTCTATTGGATTGAGCTGGTGACTGTGGAGGCAATTTGAGTACAGTGAACTCATGGTCATGTTCAGTTCAACCTGTCTAAGACGATTTACGCATCATGACATGGCGCGTTATCCTGCTGAAGGTAGCCATCAGAAGATGGGTACACTGTGGTCATAACGGGATAGACATGGTTCGCATTAATACTCAGGTAGGTTGTGGTGTTGACACGATGCTCAATTGGTACTCATGGGCCCAAAGTGTGGCAAGAAAATATCCCCCACGCCATAACACAACCACCACCAGCCTGAACCGTTGATACAAGGCAGGATGGATCCATGCTTTCATGTTGAACCTACCATCTGTATGCTGCAGTAGAAATCAAGACTCATCAGATCAGGCAATGTTTTTTTCAATCTTCTATTGTCCATTTTTGGTGAGCCTGTGTGAACTGTAGTCTCAGTTTCCTGTTTTTGGCTGACAAGAGTGGTACCCACAGTGGTCTTCTGCTGCTGTAGCCCACCCGCCTTAAGGTTGGACGTGTTGTGCGTTCAGAGATGCTTTTCTGCAGATCTCAGTTGTAACGAGTGGTTATTTGAGTTACTGTTGCCTTTCTATTAGCTCGAATCAGTTTGGTCATTCTCCTCTGACCTCTGGCAACAACAAGGGATTTGCGCTCACACAACTGCCGCTCACTGTATATTTTCTCTTTCTCTTTTTCTCTGTAAAGCCTAGAGATGGTTGTGGGTGAAAATCCCAGTAGATCAGCAGTTTCTGAAATACTCAGACCAGCCCGTCTGGCACCAACAACCATGCCATGTTCAAAATCACTTAAATCAACTTTCATCTCTGTTCTGATGCTCAGTTTGTCCATGTCTACATGCCTAAATGCATTGAGTTGCTGCCATATGATTGGCTGATTAGAAATTTGCATTAATGAGCAGTTGGATTGGTGTACCTAATAAAGTGGCCGGTGAGTGTAGTTTTGAACAGAATTGAAATGATTGCAGATTGTACATACAATAAATGTAAACAATATAATTTACCACCCCGATAGCATAATTTTCATGATAAGCTAAGTGTGATCCAAATTTTTGTAGCAGATTTTTATAAACAAATTTTCTCTCTCTCCTGTCCAACGCTCGTTTCTCTTTCTCTATCTCTCAGGTGTATATCCGTTGTTCAAGCGCTCAGCAGTAAACCTGTGTGGGGCTGCTCTCAGAGTCCACATCACCGTAACCACAGACTCTCTCACCCTTGAGCCTCAAGTCATTGAGCAACTCCACAGCTCAGGAGAAGAAGACCTGAATGAAGACCTCGCCACCACATCTCCGTCTAGACCTCAATCCCCTAGCAAACCACTTATCCAATCAGAAGTGACCACTGAGGATCCGCCATCCACACAACCCATTGAGAACACCTTCATCGCCAACATCACCGTGGACAGAGCCATGCATCTCAGTCTAAAGGGTAAAATAACTAGAGTGGGCTAGAGTTTGTGTCAGGCTCATTTACAAATACCTACAAGTTATAATGTTTTAAGGCATTTCTGTATTTTTATAAAGTGTTTTTCATTCAATTCATTTATAGCGCTTTTCACAATAATTATTGTTATAAAGCAGCTTAGCAAAAGGTGTACATCATTACACTCTACTTTTTCAATCTATTGATTATAAAGAATTCAAAATGGACTTTTAAGTGATTCTTTTGTCACATTTGATCAATTTGTATCTGTATATTTCAGTTACAATACAAGTTTCCTTTTTAAAAACAAACTTTTTTTTTGCTCCTGCATTAAATCACAAATCCTCACTTTAACAACACTTAAAGTACATGCATTAAACTTTACCGCATTATTTACATCATATCTATATTCTGAAGGTTTGTACAGAGAAATATGTTTATACATTATTTGCCTGAAGATCTTTCTCGTAACATTTTCTGAATTATGGACTGATAATAAAGATCCCACTCCCAATCCCAAAAGAGATCTCCAAAATTGTATTACTCTAATATGTGACAAAATGAAACCAGTATTTTGAAACTGACCTAATTCAAGGTTCATTTTTTTTGTGCTGGAAATTAATGCAAATTAGTGCATATTTAATTGATGTATTTGCATATTTATACATGCATTTTAGGAAACTTATTTTTTAATGTACAGTAAGTTGTGGAAGTGTGATAATTAGGTAATCGTTTTATTGCTGACCTGCAGTATCTTGTGTTTGCTGTTTTGCATGTCAGGTTGTCCTCTGGCTGAAAGAGGGGGAGGGTTGCCAAGTTGTTGTGTTTCTTATGCCACTGCTGATGACACGGGTACAGTGACCACAGCGCTGATTAAAGACAATGAATGTCCTGTGTGGGACCACCAGCAGGAGTGCAGGTATACCCATTTGACACGACTACATATATATATATATATATATATATATATATATATATATATATATATATATATATATATATATATATGTAGTATATATGTAGTATAAACTAGCCACTTTGGCTGGTTGAAAATAATTTTTAAATTGTGGTTTTCTTAAAAGCAGGGTTCTACTATAAGAATGACCCATAATGTGTGCACATATATATATTTTATATCTTAGTATAAACAAGCATTTTTTCAAATATATGCATGCATTTGTGTATGTTTGTATGTTTGTATGTTTGTATGTTTGTATGTTTGTATGTTTGTGTGTGTGTGTGTGTGTGTGTGTGTGTGTGTGTGTGTGTGTGTGTGTGTGTGTGTATATATATACAGTTGAAGTCAGAATTATTAGCCCCCTTTTGATTTTTATTTTCTTTTTTTAAACATTTCCCAAATTAATGAATTTGAATAAATTAATTCCCAATAACAGAGCAAGGAAATTTTCACTGTATGTCTGATAATATTTTTCTTCTGGAGAAAGTTTTATTTGTTTTATTTTGGCTACAATAAAAGCAGTTATTAATTTTTTAAAAAACATTTTTGGGACAAAATTATTAGCCCCTTTAAGCTATTTTTTTTTCTGATAATCCACAGAACAAACCATCGTTATACAATAACTTGGCTAATTACCCTAACCTGCCTAGTTCACCTTATTAACCTAGTTAAGCTTTTAAATGTCTCTTTAAGCTGTATAGAAGTGTCTTGAAAATTATCAAGTAAAATATTATCTACTGTCATCATGGCAAAGATAAAATAAATCAGTTATTAGAAATAAGTTATTAAAACTATTATGTTTAGAGATGTGTTGAAACAATCTTCCCTCCATTAAACAGAAATTGGTGAAAAAAAAAACGGGCGCTAATAAATCAGGGGGGCTAATAATTCTGACTTCAACTGTATATACACACACACACACACTCACACTCACACATAAAAAAGTATACACAGTACACACACCTATAGTTTGTCAAAACAAACTATTATTGGGATGCGATTTATCGAGATTAATTTTAATAATTTAAATATTTATAATGTAATATATTTCTTTTTTATTCAAGCTGAATGTTTAACAGGTTTAAGGCTCAGTTATTAACTTATTTTAGATTTTTTTTTTGTTATCACAAATGTTTTGTCTTTTTGCGGCTTAATATTTTGTTGCCATATATTTCTTTTATATATTTTGATGCATTAAAAATGATTTGAATTACAGATCTTCAGAAACATTATAAATGTTATTTATGCAAAAGTGATGGTGATATTTGTTGCAGTATAGACAACTGGTCATTTCTGCTTCTGAAAAATCAAGGACGTGTTCACAATAAACGTGTGTTTTATGTTTTCAGACTGTCAAAAGAGCTACTCTTGGATCCCCAGCAGTCCTTGGTTTTTAAAGTTTGGCATAAAGGAGGTAAAGACACAGTGCAATTATCCATGACACTGTGTTTGTGACAGTTTAAAAGATTACTGTGCAATGGTTTTCCCCTTGCAGAGGTGGAGCGGGTGATTGGGTTTGTGTCTGTTGACCTGTCACCTCTTCTGTCGGGATTCCAGTCAGTTTGCGGCTGGTACAACATCACTGATTTCAGCGGGCAGTGCCAGGGGCAGTTAAAAGTGTCTGTGTCTCCTCTGAGAGCAGTGCAAGAGCTGCGGGCACATAGACAGATGGCACAGGACACTCATGCTCCAGACTCCAGTGTAAGACATTATTTATATTTATTATGTATTTATTTATGTATTTATTTAATAATATTTTTCCTACAGATTTATTATCATAGTTTGCTGTTTTGTCTACCAAGTGTTTTATCTGTGACTATTTGCAGTTGAAGATAGAAGAAGTGTCTTAGCATTATGTCAAATAACAGTGTATTCTATTTTTATCGTAGGTACAAGAGTAATTTAAAATTTGATAACTACTTGACAAGATTTTTATACTAAGAGCACTTTGTTGTGTTTTTATACGTGTATTCTAGTTTTTTTTTCCATATAATGAGCTGAAAATCATTTCTAATTATTTTATTTTATTCATTTATTCATTTATTCATTCATTTTTGGCTTATTCCCTTTATTAATCTGGGGTCGCAACAGCGGAATGAACCGCCAACTTATCCAGCGTTTGTTTTACGCAGTGTATGACATTCCAGCTGCAACCCACTAGAGGGAAACATACATACACACTCATTCACACACATACACTATCGACAATTTAGCTCACTCAATTCACCTATAGTTCATGTCTTTGGACTTATGGGGGAAACTAGAGCACCCAGAGGTAACCCATGGAAGAACATGCAAACTCCACAACAATATGCCAGCTGACCCAGCCGAGGCTCATACCAGTGACATTCTTGCTGTGAGGCGACAGCACTTCCCACTTTGCCGCCACTTATTTTATTTTAATTTATTTTTTATTATTATTTTTTCTTTTGTTTTATTTTAATAATTAATTTATTTATTTACTGATTAATTAATTAATTAAATAAAACAAAACAAAGCAAAATAAAATAAAAAAATGAATAAAACACTATCATAGCTAAAAATCACATCTAATTATTTTGTTAATTTATTTTAATTAAATGTTTTATTTATTTTATTTTGTTTTATTTTATTTTATTAGTTTGTTTGTTTACTAATTAATGAATAAATAAATTTAATTAAACAAAAATAGGAAAATAAAATAAATAAACAAAATAAACTACCTTATGAGCTAAAAATCATATCTAATTATTTAAGTTTATTTTATTTTTTCTTTCTTTATTTTATTTTGTTTTGTTTTATTTTATTAATTAATTAATTTCGTTTATTGATTAATTAAATAATTTATTTGTTTGTTTATCTTATTGAATTATGAAGTTATTATTATATAATTTGTTTTTATCTATATTGATCTTGTCATTGAAATTGTTAATGTGGCAGTAAATAAAGAAACGAAACTAATTAGTAATTTTATTTGCAATAAATATATTTAGATGCTAATCATACTTTGTGAAAATAGTGGTAGATGTTTAAGGCTACATTATATAACCATATGCATGCAATAATCATATTGAGTGTTAATGAGATTGAGTTTTAAAGCCATAAATACTTTCTTAATAATGAAATCCCCAATAGGAATATAATTTGTTTAGTATATTTATTATTATTATTTTAAATCTTTTTATACATTTTCTGAACAATCATGTGACGCATAAGAGATCTAGATAATGATGCTATTTAGCAAATAATTTGCTAAATAAATCACACTATATTTATTTATCATATTTAATAACATTTTTGTTTTTAATTAATGAACCCTGTAGAACAGACTTTGTTTAAACACCATTCTGGAGTTTGGAGTACTGCAAATTAAAATTTTTGGGTGAACCTCTTTTCAAACGAAACTAAATCGTTTCAAACTTTTGACAAGTAGTATTAAAACATTATCTATTATTCCATCAGAATATATCGATACAAATGTTGTGTAATATAATTGTGTCTTTTGCAGGCTTTCTTTAGTGCACTTCCACTTTGCTATCAAACTTCAGCCACATACAGCAACTTCCCCAGTCACATCAGTCGGTTCTCAGAGCAGAGGATCAGCACTCCTCCCGAGCACTTAGAAAGACTGCTCTCGGACAGGTATTTATTTACTGTACTGTATGTAATGATTTTGAAACTGACTTGTTATTAGCTTTACTATCTGAAGTAATGCCTATATTGTTTTCATTTGTTGTCAGGTCAAGTGTGACAGATCGTCACGATGAGCACATGGACAATGTAAGATTGTTCCATCAGAGTTTGCATGAGGGAGAGAAAGCATCTTATTCCTCCACGGTTGCAGATTCACATCCATCCAGTTCAACACTTTTCTCTGCTCTCAGGTACCAAACATTTCCTCCACTTCTCAAATGAACGATTAAAGGGTTATTTTAATTTTACATTTGTAATTGTTTGCTTTATTACTAAGAACCAGCATATACAGTTTGATTATACAACAAGATGACTTTACAAGAAGGATTAAATGGGAAAAGAAAAATAGAAAATAATAATAAAAAATGAGAGGGTTCATAATTATTATTATTCATATATTATTTTCTAAAATTTAGTTGTTAACAAAAGTTATTTAATGCACTTTTAGTACAGAATATGCATGTGTACAAACATTTTATGCAAAAGGATATGTATTTTTATTTGTATATGTATTTGTAATTGTATTTGTATATTGTATATCCCTCTGAAGCTATCTTAAAATCACCCTTTCATCTTGCACTTTCTGAATTTCAGTATTTAAGAATTAATATTACTTCCAATTTGGAAGACCTCATTAAAGCCAATTATCCCCCTTTAATCACAAAAATGAATCGGAGTATATTAATTAATTGGTTGATCCTTCCAAATTCTTTTTTTTTTTTTTTGGCAGGATCAATGTTATAAAAATGAACATCTTTCAGAGATTAAATTACTCCAGAATTTGCCATGTTGCTTAAATACAAACTTTTGGAAGAGGATTAATTCCTAAATTTCAAGGTATGTTTGGAATCACAAGAAACCCAGACCTAAACTTTCGCTGTTGATGAAACCAAAGGAGTTGAGTTGAGGTTTCACTACCCAATTTCCAATTTTACTTTTGGGCTGCAAAAATTAAGCACATGTTATATTGGTTTATTTACAGATTTGTTTCATGCTGGTTTGGGATTGAATCCACAAGATGCTTTTTCCAGGCTGTTATGCTCCCTACCATTTATTCATAATGTACAAAAAATGTAACATCTGAGTAGTGTTTTAATGGTAACAAATAGTCTTTTGGTTTGGAAAGATATTAAGAAATTTTTATCTATCCCAAAAAACTTGTGTTCCAAGTCCCCTATTACGTCTAATCCCAATTTTCCCACTATTATAGAGAATAATGGCCTTTTGACTTGAACGTGTTGGAATTGGGTCACTTATTTGATGATGGCCAAATAAAATAATTTCAAGAGTTAAGATAGGAATTTAGTCCTTCCAGTAAAGATTTTTAAAAATTCCTGCAAATTCAACACTTTTTAGTGTTAAAGTTAGAAGAAGGTAATATACAATTTGATCTTACTGAAATAGAAAAGCAGCATTTTCTTCATGGACTTCATGGCTTAAAAAAAGATCTCTGAATTATGTACATTGCTGTATAATATTGGTCCTTCAACCTTTGATTCTTAAAGGGTGATATGGGAAAAGGATTAGGGGTCTATTTTTTCTGAAATTATAAATGTATTCACTGGATTTATCTAACTCCAGTTCGCCTCTATAGAATATTTTCCTATTGTTCTCAACTATGTTTCAAATGTAAGTAGACATTCGCACAATGATGCAGTCATTTTGGGATTGCAACACAATCAAAATGTACTGGTAAGGGATTCAAAAAACTATTTAAAAATTATCGGAAAGACTTTTGTTTTGCCCCCAAAGGTATACCTTTCGAATTGTACAATGGAACTTTGTCTTGATCATGATTAAGAATGTGTATTGAATTTTTGTTATTTTTATTATTTTGTTATATTTATATATTGTTATTTATATTTTGTTTTTCTTATTTGTAATGGAACATTTGTTGAGATAATGAACCTACTTGAGTCCAATTTACATTATTAAAGATATCGTTCCAGTAAAAACTACATTACTTGATTAAAGGGTTAGTTAATCCAAAAATGAAAATTAAGTTATTTGCTCAACCTCAAACAAACCAAATTGCATTTGTGGTTCAATTCAAATATTATTAAGCTGTGAGCATCTTTTTGTCTGAAAATAAAACAAAAAGATTTTTTGAAATAAATAAGAAAGTCTTTTTTCAACATTTGCTTCTAGGCAATTCAGTCAGCAAGCATATTATTTACTTTACTATGTTATGTATTAAATTATTTCATTTAATAGATTTAGTCTCCATGGAATTAAAATGAAAGTTTTTTTTTTTCTTTCTTTTATTATGTAAAGTGTAATGAAGTTTACAACTCACAGCTCAAAGGAAGGAGGAGGCAGGAACTGGCAAACGTGTTATAAACTCTAACAAATAAAATAAACCAAGACTAACGGGCGCTGGCAGCCCCTCACAGATGACTTCCATCTAAACACAAACAAAACATAAAATATTTTCAAGTGATATAGATGAGATTAGGAGGAAACAGCTGTTAGACAGACTAATAGATTGATATTAGACTGTTGCTGTCAGCAATTGATGGTTTTATTAAACAGAATGGCTCTGGGCAAGCTGTGATATAAATAAACACTATTGGCAATTAAAGAAATAGGAGGAGCAGCTCTTTATGTCCTATTCTGTCTTCCTGTTTCAGAGGAAATTACAACAATGACAATAAATAAAGCTATTGCTTTTGTGATCTGATTGCATTTTTTCCAGATTTAGGTTTTTATCGACTAACAAGTAACTCCAGCTGTTTTCTGGATTTTAATAAAATATTTGTTGCTTTAAAGGAAAAATCTTAGTGATCTAGATGATATTCAGAGGTATTTCAGCCGGAAGCTGTCCACTCCAACATTCCCAAAGCTGAGGGATCTGAGAGGAACCTCCAGACAGGAAGAGCACCGGGTCTCAGAGACGGACACCACACAACTGCTGCTGAAGTCCAACCAGCTGGTGGGAGAAGTCAACGACATCATCAAAGGTGAGATGTACTCACATCGAAGCTCTTGATGTACTTGCGCTTAGCCAGAGAAGGAAGTTTGAAGCATTCTTTAAGCTGCATACTAGGCTTGGGCGGTATCCAAATTTTGATACCGTCAAACCGCCTCCATATTTTACCCCGGTATCCGGTATTACCGGCGTAATAAAAAAAAATTATGACGTAAGGCTCAGACAGCGTCACCAAACTGTTGGCTTAAGCCTAAACCATTCAGAAACTGAATACATTCTATGCGACCTTAGGCTCGCGGTCAGAGAGAGAGAGAGAGAGAGAAAGAGAGAGAGAGAGAGAGAGCGCAAAGCGACGCACAGCACCTCTCTCTCTCTCTCTCTCTCTCTCTCTCCCTTTTACACACACACACACACACACACACACATCTCTCCCGCGATTTATTCAGAAATTTACTCCCACACCTTAAGAAATCTGGCCGGCTCCCGCGGAACAGCAGTTATACCCGATAGGTCCCGAGTCCGACAGTTACATTTTGATTGACAGCTTTATACAGCCCAAACCCGTTCACAGCCTACATTAAAATGTGCTCATGCACACAGCTCTAATGCATTTTTTTCAAGAATGAGTCATTTATATTTTTTAACATAATTTATTCGTAACAAGCGTAGACTATAGGCCACTTGAAAGTTGGAACAAAGAAATAAAATAAGTCCTACAGCTGTAACATCGTAACATCTCAGCACTCTATAGGTCTAGGTACATGCACTTAGCCTTTAAATTAGCCTACACACCAATGAAAAGTAATCTTGCTTAACAAATCAAATTAAAATAAACTCTAAATGATGACGGGTATTTTGGCAATAACGAAATTAAGATAAAGGCTCTGCAAGATGTGTTTCTCCACTTCTCTTCACAATCTGGCATTAAGGCGGCGGTGAAGCTCAATAATAAAAGAATAATGTCACCATTAGTCTGTATACTCTGTCTACATTATGATTATATGGTTTAATTAATATTTATTTATAATTTAAAAACCCTTTACGCACCAAGATTAGGCTACGTGTGTTTGTGGAGGAACATTATTAAATCCACTGGCTTTAGCGCAGTCTCTCACTCATGGTGCGTCCAGCAGAACTGAACACCCTTTCCTGCGGCTACAGGTCGAGATGCAGAGTTCTGATCTGGCTGATTTTGCAAGTTTTTTGGTAGGATTGTTTGTTCATCTTCTACCAGTCAGGAACATGCATTTAATTTTCCATGATAGCAGTTTCACTTTAGCGAATGGCCTCTTCTTTTTACCTGTCAGCTTGCGGTTTAGGGCTCTACCGTAATACGCAGTGTATGAGCGACCGCGAAATACCTGAGGCTGGAATAACCGCTCCTTGTGAGCTAGTGACTGACTTGACCGCCGTCAAAATTCTCTTTTTTTACTACTTCGTCATCATTTGTTTCACCTTTGCAGGGATGGATTTTAATGCAGGGATTTGGATTTTTTCGGGTCTCGCCGGGTTCGGGCAAAGATCTTTAGCTCTAATGCAGACCTCTCGTTCATATTAACCACGTCTCCCTTCTGTTCAGTCGAAACTCCCAAACTGCAGGACACTTTGAAGCGCGACTGGTCACGTCACCTCTCCCCCTCCCTCTCCCCCTTCTCTCCCTCCCTCTCCCCCTTCCTTTCCCTCTCTCCTCCACACTGTCCCGTGATGACAACCACACATCCGTTTTTGTAGGCATTAAATAAAGGATATTTAATATTTTATGACGGTATAACGGTATTGAAACTGACACCGTTGCTATTTTTAGATCCCGCGGTATACCATAATACCGTAATACCGCCCAAGCCTACTGCATACTGGTTGCAAACATCCTAAAGTTAGCCTTGTTTAGGTGGACATGAAAACATGTGCTGCACGTTTTCCCCTCAACAGAATAAAGAATTAAAAATGACAGCTGTGAGAAAACCGCAGTTAGGAAAGGATCTGATCATCTCAATGTGCATAAGCTTGCATGATCAATTTCACGTTATGTCTCTCACGTCAAATTTTTTTATATATGTTCTATCCAATGTTGAATGTAACATACTTACAAAGTAACTAGTTACTGTAAATAAATGACTTTTTTGATTAAAAGAAGTGAAGTAATGAATTACTTAATTTTTCTGCAGACGTTGTTTTTTGCTATTTTTGCAGGGAATTTTGTAAAAAATAAAAATCTGCTGATTTATGCAGAACGATTTTGGGAGTATGGTAAATAAAACATGATAAATGAAATAAAAAAATACATTTTAAACTTTTATTTAATGTTTACAAAGCAAATCCAATTAGATCCAGTTATTTGATAAACAAAGCAAGTCTCTCATATAATATATCAACTGAAAGACAAATATTACTTTACAAAATGTATTGTAGGTAAATCATATGCAAATTTTCATATTGGTCAATAATATTACTGAAATTAATATAAAAAACTGAATTAATATAAATTTAAAGACATTTACATAAGTAAATAAATACTCAATTATGAGCTTAATTTCTGCGCTCAGATTTCATGTGGGCCTAGTAATCAGCGATGAAGTCCTTTTTTTAAGTAGCTTCCCCAACACAGGTTATGTCTGTCAACCTGTCTGTCTATGCATGTACATACATTGGATTAGTCAGTATCAAAGTAAAAACTGAAACAAATCTAGGAAAAAACCTTAAAGTGACAGTGCCAAATATGACTACACCCAAATTAAAATGAATAATAACAATTTAAAACAACATTCAATAGAATATTAATAAACAGGAAAAATCAAGAGAAACACAGTTGTTTTAAATTTAGTTTAGATTTTCGTAGTTTGTCTGTGTGTATTTTTATTTTTTGCAATAAGTTGTTTGAATTTAAATGTATTGTCTTTTAATTTCAAAGATGTTAGCTGGCCAAACTACTTCTTTTAATGGATATTAAGTAAATGTTTAATAAACCTGTTTTTAAAATGACCTAAACAGTATTGGCTACAGTATATTCAATGAGAGATGGATAAAACATGTTCATTAACAGAAGGGGGTGAAGTTGTTTATGCTGAGCACTATATGTGTAGTTTAGTTTGAAGTATATCAGGGATAGATAGTGATATCCTATTTATTTAGGTCATTTTTCTCATGATATTTTATCTTAAATCAGGTTTAAGTGAACATCAGCCTGAAGAAGCACCTGTTATCCTTAAAAGCACCACCACTACTCCTGATGTGGCTGATAAGCGTTTAACCTCTGGAGCTGATCAGCTGATTCTAACAGAGTCGTACAGCTGTGAGACAGAACCACACTTTCATAAACACTCTGACATGATGCTGGAGGATGAAAATGAAGTCTCGCCCTTCAGCTCTCCTGCTCCTACAGAGACCAGACACTCAGTAGCTGCTCCAGAAGATGAAGAAAAAAACGATCACATCTCCAGTGATGATGATGAAGATAAAGACCAGGATGAGCATGTAGACTTTGAGGAAACTTTAATTCAGCCCAGAACATTAAATGAGGTCACTTCAGTCACAGACAGAACCAGCCCCTGGACCAGCTTGCTGTCTGACCCAGATATGAGCTCTCTAGAGAGTCTAGAGTCTGTGCACCGTCATTCTCAGGACCACAGCATCCACATTGGAGGAGAGCAGAGAAACAGAAGTGACAATAACCCACTAACTGCAGAATCCCAAGAGACTGATTCTGATTCAGATGTTTCAGAAAGATCTCCAACTGGTCAGGAGATGTTTAGGGGAGCTGGTGCTGTTGAAACAGAACAGCAGGTACAGCAGGCTTCTCCAGATGGTCTTGATGGAGATGATGCTCTTTCTAGTATCAGTGAGGCAGAGGATTGTGAGCTGAGCAACAGTGGGCCTGAAGAAGCGATTGAAAGGCCAATATCATCTCCCTCTGCAGAGTCTGCCTCAGAAGCAGATGACAAACATGATGAGAAGACAACCAAAATGTATCCTTTGAAGCTTTGTGTGGATATTTTGGTTTTCTGTATTGTAGAAGTATTCAAATGAATTTAACAGCATATTATACACTGTAATATTGATGCCACCAATGAGCAGATGCTCTATTTTCAAAGGTGAATCTACTTGTATGATGGTGGTATGTTAAACCGCTGCAGGCATGAAGGGATAGTATGGTTGTGTTGTCCTGAACCCCTATTTGCAGTTTGGAATCTGTTGATATTCCAAATTTCTTCCTGTCAACTCACCATCTGGAGGCGTCCATGAGGGCTTTGAGGATGGCGCCTGTTTTTCCAACAGCTGAGTCTGTGAGTAATCGAACTGTTTGTCTGTCTAATCCACCGTTCAATCCATCATTCTGTAGCTATCGTGATTAGAGGGGCAACAATATAGAGTTCTCAAGATTCGGTTTGGTTTTCGGTTTTAGGGTCACTTTTTTGGTATTGTTTATGATATGTTATAATATGTTATAGATAGCACTGCCAAAAAAAAGTAAAGGGGAAAAAATCTTAGAGCTAAATACAATACAAATGAATATAGCAAAGATAATACTAATATAAACTGAAACAGGAAAAATATAATCAAATATAATATCTTCAATATATAAATGAAATGTTTGCCATTATTGAGCTACAGTAGCCTTTATAGCTATTCGGTCAAGAGTGGAGTGAGTGATTTTGTTGTCGTTTGTTGTTTAAATTCTATTAAAAGCACGGAGAGCAGGGATAAAATGTTTTTCATTCAAAATGCTGTGGAGATGTAGCACAATGTGGAAGTTACAGACAACACAATTTCCTGAATGTTTAAATCCTCCTAACTGCTTGAATGCTTGTGAAGTTGGACAGATGGTCGAAACTATTGGTTATAATTGAGTTTAAGAGTCGAGATGCAAGAATTTATTTGAGATGAGCACTTCATCAGATCGCCCGCACATCATGCTAGTTCTGTTCCTGGACCTCTGGACCCATCTGATATGCAGATCACATTACTTTCATTTTCACCTAAAAGCATCTCTAATTTGAATGTTGACTGATGGGACATTTACTTGTGCAGGGCCTTGTTTCAGCACATGGACATGCATTCTAATATACACAGCTATCATAATATTTATTATTATACCTATCTGTCTTTCTGATCTAACATTCTATATGTATATATTCTATCAATATATTCTATATATTATTCTATCTATAGTTTTATTAATCTATCCTTTCTTAGCTATTGTTCTGTCTGTGTGTCAGTAAATTATTCAGTGTGTTGTATTCTCTTCATCCATTAGTATATATATTCTGTCAAACGTTCTATGCATCTGTCTTTATCCATTTATTTATCTTCAACCTTTTGTCCAGATCTGTTGGACATATATACTGCATTTGTTAATTAATTTTATATATATATATATATATATATATATATATATATATATATATATATATATATATATATATAGCTCAACACACACACACTCACAAATATATATATATATATATATATATATATATATATATATATATATATAGATAGATAGATAGATAGATAGATAGATAGATAGATAGATAGATAGATAGATAGATAGATAGATAGATAGATAGATAGATAGATAGATAGATAGATAGATAGATAGATAGGTAGGTAGGTAGGTAGGTAGGTAGGTAGGTGTGCGTGCGTGCGTGCGTGCGTGCGTGCGTGCGTGCACAGATACTTTCATATGTGGTCCATAATGGCTTAACTTTATCTTGTGAACTCAGTCTTCAAAGTTCATGTACCATGATATGTGTAGTAAGTAGGGCTGGCTGGGAGCCATGAGCAAGGTTTGAGGCTGGTGGTATGAGTGTTAACGAGTGTGCTCCACCTGTCTTGAGTCTCACGGAGGAGCTCTGAAATCTTAAAAGAAGGAGTGACAACAGTGGAAAATGAGAGAGGACCAGGCCTGGACATTTTAGCTGTTTCTCAATTCCAGGAACGCAAAGAACGGACTTGTGTTCTCTTGAAGACTGGTCTTGTCAAGTGACTTCAAAACAAATTCTGGGGACTGCGAGAACACAGAACGCGTCCTGTGAGAAATAAGATGCTGCATTCATCCTAGCATTCATATACCATACAAATAAAACTGATTTTAATATGAATTTCCGCAAATAAACACTGTTAATGTGTTTATGCCTTTATTAAGATTTTCATGGTAATGTTTTCCTTCACCGTAATATTTAGGAAAACTCCTGAGATAAATCAGTTATAACTCTGATTATAGAGTATGATTATATCTCTTATTAATAAATCTTTATGAAATGCTGCAATTTCCAGCTCATTGATTTAGCCGCAATGACTTTTAGAGCGAGTTCTGTGCTCAAGTCTGCATCGATGCATCCTCAATATCAATAGCACATCCTGCTTCTTTCACACATCCTCTGTTCTTGCAAGATTTGGAACTGAACTTTGATGATGATGATGCTACAAGAGAAAACAAGATTGCTTAAGAATATTAAGAAACAGGCTTGATATTTTCCTCCATTCCTCTGAGACTCGAGACTGTTGTGCAAACAGGTGATGCTCATTAACATATGCGAGCGGTCTCGCTCCATTCCCATGGCTCTCGGCCATGCCCCTAGTGACAATATGGTTCTTCATTTGTATTGTTTTGTTGTCACAATGAATTTTTTAGGATACTGGAAATCCTGGAAATCCCTATCAAAGAAAGCCTCGCTCCAGGCCCAGCATCCCACCATCACAGAGGAGTGAAGAGACCAGAAGAATTGCTAAAATATTTGCTTCAAAGTTTACAGAAGAAAGTTAGTACAGTCTTATTTGTGTGTGCTTTTAATGTTTTTTACAGTATGTTAGTGTAAATTTCTGATTATTATTTATTTGATTTATGGCACAGTATGGTATGGACTTTTTTATGAACACTTTTGATAATGTTTTTAAAAAATGCATTAAAAATAGTTTATTTACAGCAATGAAATATTTTTGTAATAAAGAATTGTGCACGTTGTTCCACTTACAGGTGATTGTTTTTGAAAGTTTCGTACATTGTCGAGCACGTTTAATGTCTGTCAGAATGAGCTGCTCAAAGGCTTTAAGCATTTACGTAGCTGACAGATGAGAAAATTGGCCAATTTGAGCCGCTGCAGACAATAGCACACACTGACAGTGATGTAACCAAAGGATTATCCAGAGACAAAAGCAGCCAACGGCCAGACAAAAGCTCTCTTTTACCCTCTCCGTCTGTTTAATGAGCTCTAATTAGAGAGATGAAGCTGATCGAGGATCTGGACCTCTTGCTGACCTCCATCCAAAACCGATGAATCGACTGACACACTCGCAGCCATCGAAGATTTAACAGAAGGAAACCATTCATAGTTATTAATGTGGAGCTTTTACTGCCTAGATGGAACCTGCATAGGTGAATACTGGTTATGAGTAGTTTTATACTTTTAAAAAAATGTAGACAAGGCCAGGCAAGTTTATTTATATTGCACATTTCATACACAATGGTAATTCAAAGTTTGGTCATTTAAGTTGTGCTTTACATAACCAAAAATAAAAGAAACAAGTATAAAAAATAAAAACAACAAAGAATAAAAATGATTAAAAACAGATTAAAAGAAATGGATGAAAAAGAAAAGAAAGATATAGTGCGATCTGTTGGATGAAGCACAGTGCTCATTCAGTAAAGGCACAGCTAAACAGTGGTGTTTTAAGTCTTGGTTTGAATGTGCCTAATGTTGGAGCACATCTGTGTAGTAGCTGAAGGTGGATTCACCCTGCTTTGACTGAACAATTGGAATTTCTAATTTACTTGATTCTAATGATCCGAGTTACCTGTTTGTTTGTTTTTTTCATTGAGCATATCTATAATGTAGATCCTAGGCCTAAGTCCTAGGCTATTTAGTGATTTATAGACAAGTATTAATACTTTAAAATCTTTTCTGATTCCAAATGTAACTGGGAGCCAGTGTAAAGACCTGAGGACAGATGTGATGTGCTCTGATTTTCTGGTTTTGGATGAGCTGCAACTGTCTGACAGTCTTTTTGGGAAAGCCAGTGAGGAGTCCGTTACAGTAATCCATGCTGCTGGTGATAAAAGCATTAAAAAGTCCTCAATGGAAACAAAGCATCCATTTCTTGCAATTTAGGCTGCTTTAATAACTTATATAAATAGGTTTAAAGAATTATTACTAATATTCTTTATAGACATTTTCAAATGTATATATTTATAGCAGTGGGAGGATGAGGCATCGTTACATTTATAGACCATTTCAATGTGGCGATGTCGCTTGCCCTTGAACATTTCCTCCTTGTTACCAAACTATTTTAGAACTGTAACAAGAGGCAAATTAATCATTTCTTAATGCTAAAATGGCTGCTATAACATTATTTATCAATATGTGGAGCTTTTTGGATTCCTGAAAGCTATGGAAATTCAAAATATAATACTGGGAATACATTAGGACTATTGTTATAGTTTACATCCTTCAAAAGGGTCTAGATTATATCAATAGAGTAGGAAGTAGAAAAGAAATTATTCAAATAACTTTTAATAAAATGTCCAAATGTGGTAGAAATAATGTAGTCATTTTTCATAATAATATGCATATATAAATTTACAACTAATGTCTTTCTGTTTTGTAGTGTAACATATAAAAGAATATGTGACCATACTAAATTTAGTTATGTATATAAGTTAAATATTTAAGTGTAAATTACATTTTGTTATGTACCTAAACTAATTTAACATAGCTAAAATTAAATTTAGTTATGTATCTAAATTACTTTAAAATGTTTTTTTCTGATTACGGGTAAAACCAGTTTGGCAAAGTATAAAGATTTAACAAGATAATGAATTACTATTTTGGTGCTGCGCTATGATCCTTATAAAATCTAAAAAAAAAAAAAATGGCATTAATCTAAATGTGACGGACCAGATTAAATAAACTATATTTTAAGTTGTCTTAAAATTGTCACATTTTTCGCTAGATAAAGAAACATTCTAGTGCAAGAAAAATATTTTTATGGTTTAGATGGATTTTATTAGCATTTTGTCTTTGATTTTTTATTTATTTTTTTAATGGGAACCGTTTTCATTAGTTATTTTCAAATGATCAGCGATCTAATTGGAACTTAACTGCTTAGAATTTTTCTAAATTAAACAAAACTGTCCAAAAAAATTATTAGCTATATGTTTGAGTAAAATTCAATTTTTTGTAATATTCTCCAAATAGTTAATATAAGTGGCATTTTCAGTATTTGCTGTGATTGAAAATTAGATTTGTTCCACCAATTTTTTTTTTTTTTTTTTGAACTCTTGTGTTAAAATGTTGGTATTATGTTTTCTGAACATATCTAATATACAGCATAGGCCATATGGAAGAGGAGTCATCAGTATTTACAGTATAAAACAATATTTTACTCAAACACATAATTATAAATTATAAATCCAGAAAAAAATGTGAAAATTTGCAAATGACCATCTCTGTTTATAGTGGTTTACCAGAAACATGTATAACTTGTTTTTATAGTCCCATGGTATCAGTACTCTTTTAGTGGGGTGTTTGGTTGATTCCTGTCTAGTGGCTGTAAAGCAGCATGTCTTTGTGGCCACTGGTCGCTGCATTTACACACATCTTGTTTGTGGCTCAATTCATTTTGGGATGGCAGAGTCGGGAATCCAAATGTATGATGCTTTAGAGGAGGAAGAAATAATGTTGAAGAAAAATGAGGAGACTGGAAACCAGGCAGCAAAAACACTGGAGACACACCACTGAAAACATTGATTGTGGTCGATAGATGAGGGAAACCGTTCGAAAAATCAGCGTTTTGATGGTACATTTGTGCGTGTATGATGAGATTGTGGATCTTTTCAGCTTGAAGAAGGCGTCGATGGCACAATGCCTGAGCGTTTTGAAGCAATTCAACGAAGTCTGTGAGCAAAAGTTTTCCTTCGGTAAACTTCTGCCAGAGATTCTGAAGAAGTGGAAGATTAAAATCAAGTCTTTGAAATCATGATTTTAAATCTGCATTTTTGAATCGTTTATCTGACGTACCTCGGATTGACTAGCCGAATGACGGATTTTCTCCTTCAGACGCTTCTGAATAGCTCTGAGGTTGAGTTTCTGCTGGAAAGTTTCTGCACAAGATTCATTACATCAGTGGTAGGTTAGGTACGGTTTGGACACAGATTTTCACCAAAAGTATCGCAGTCATGGACTGAAAAATAGGAAGCGTACTAATAATTCTGTGTGGAGTTTGCATGTTCTCCCCGTGTTCTCATGGGTTTCCTCCAGGTGCTCCGGTTTTCCTCACAGTTCAAAGACATGAATTGAACTAAATTGGCCGTATAGTGTAAATGTGTGAATGAGTGTGTATAGGTGTTTCACAGAACTGGGTTGCGGCTGGAAGGGCATTTGCTGAGTAAAGCATATTGAGATAGTTGGCCGCTCATTCACTGTGAGGGTTCCTGATAAATAAAGGGACTAAGATAAAGGAGAATGAATACTATGGCTACCAGTTTCCAACATTCTTCAAAATATCTCGTGTTCAACAGAAAAACAAATTTGACCACACCAGGGTGAGTGAATGATTATAGCTACATTTTTATTTTTGTCTGAAGTATTGCTTGCTCTTCACACTGAGAACTTACCCAGCTTTCTTTGTTTTCGTTGCGCTGAAGAGACGATCTGACCAAGAATCTGGTACTTTTCAGCTAAAAGCAGCTTAGAGGTATTCAGACGTGGCTGATGTGTTAAATTCTGCTCTGCCAGCCAACAGTTGGACGCCACCAAAATCTTCTTACTCCTCTGAAGATGCTGTAACTGCAGACAAGTCCTTCAGATCAGGTGAGTTATAAAAAATAACCCTAATTAAACACATTAAAGCTTAAATTTCACATGTAATTTATTCAACCTAATTGCACCTGCTAAAAAATTTAATTTAAAAAATTGTACTTTCCTGAAAATTAACATAATATATATGAGCAATATCACACGAGTAGCGGTGTGATATGGCTGTATATCGCCCCTAGTTAGAGGCTGAGTGCCTTAGCGTCCCACCAGTGCTGATATACAACCATATCGCACTGCTACGATTGTGATATTGCGTTAATACAATAATTCGACAGCACAATCGTGTATATAAATAAGAAAATCATACACAGAGAGTCTAAAAACCCCTTTTTGTTAGGAACTACAGTACTTTCTTCCACTATTCATTCACATCTGCAGCTGACGTCAAAACAGTAGAAGCCGTTACTAATTAACCTACGTCACTTTAGAGCTAGAGTTTGAATGATTCTCTATCGCCTAATCTCTAAAGTGGTTACAAAAGAGCTGATTTTGTTCAATTTAAGATTATAAGGCAGAACATGACATGAAATGCCATCCATCTACAGAGTTATCTTCTTACAGTGTTCCAGTCTACATTATTTCTCTGTTGCAATCAGAATATTGCAATAATTAACCCCGATAAAAGCAACGCAATCAATATCAGACTGCTGTTGTGTTTGTGATAAGGAAAAAGACTAAACACGTGCGGACTTTGCTTATTTCAATCTGCCAACAAACCACACATTCGTGATATGCGAGCAAATTGGAATAAATACAACACTACAACATACAAACATGAGAGATCATCTAACCTGCCAACATGTCTCTGAAAATCAGTGTTCGGGGGTGAATAACAGAGTTGAGAACTGGGATAGGATACAGCAGGTTTTGGGCGGCTGCAGCGATCAAACTGTACCAAAGTTGGCAACCCGGGGGTGTTTGCAGACTGTACCAGAGGGAGGTGGGTGAAATTATGGGAGTTTTCCAGAAGAAATAAAAACGGGATGGTCGCGGGAGATTGGTATAAAATATTATGTATAAGATATAATATAATATATAAGTATAAGATATTCCCAGGGAAAACAGGAATATTGGCAGGTATGCTTACCAGTTTAATAATGATTTGATCTGATATAGTTAGAAATCAGACTGTTATAAGCTTCTAAGTGTTAGGACTTAT